TCTCCAATACCAGCAACTCAGCTTTCACGCTCTAGGCCCCGCTTGGACTCCTGTCGGGAAATTCCAGCAAGATCGTCGGGGGAAAATCAAATCTCGAGCGCCGAAAGTACAATTCAAGCATGCTTTATATAAGCTGTCAAATTTTAGGGATTAAAAACTGTTTAATGCGAGCAGTGCTACCTTATGTGCGAGGTGTTGAATACTATTGCGATCGTATGGGCTGTAGCGATGGGCCCAGCACTTCCCCGATAGGGAGACTAGTACCCCCGACATGGCGACTCTTAATTTGCATGTGATTTTCTTTCAAATTATCATATTATTTAAAAAAATCCCATAATTAACACAAAAAGTTATTATTTCTTAATGAAAAAAAAAACCAGGCAAAATATACCGTATTTTTCCCAGACAGGGGGATGGGGGGCTAGGCTTCCCCGATGGAGGGTGATGTGGACCTCCTTGTGAACCGCCTTCCCCGACCACTCGTCGGGGAAGGCGCCGCCTCTGAACTCCTTGTGCATCAATGCTGGCTTCCATGTCAGCAATTTAGATGCACATCTTCAGCACTTGTAATTGTGAAGTTTCTATGCCAGTGCATGGATGTAAGTTGCAGATGTAGCCTGCTGGCGTAGAAGCTGCGGAGTGTCTAGGAACTCACTTGCACTGCTTACGCACTCACTTGCAACTGCGTAGCTCCCATTCTGACGCCTGAACGTCAGCATGCTGCATGCTTTTATGCCAGCATTTACAAACTCCATTTTATTCTGTACACCGTAAGTGTGGATATTCTATACCAGCAACACACAGTTTCCATCATCGCCTGCCTAGTCATTGCGTCATTCCAGACTGTTTGGCAGTCTCGCTGCTCCACACGAGCTTTTAAAGAATACTCTTAATTTCTACAGTATTGTTCACTTCGTGTTTATTACAAAGGATATCTCCTCCCAATAGTTCATTATTAATTATTCATTCAATTTACATTTATTTTATAGGAATGATTCCAGCACCGCTTTTATTTGGGGCTGCAATCGACTCAAGTTGTATTTTCTGGGAAGAAACTTGCGGAGATAGCGGCTCTTGTTTAATTTACAACTTAAAGGATTTCAGACTAGCTTTCTTTGGTGTGATAGTGGCGCTGAAAGCAATCAGTGTACTCTGCAATTTAATATGCTGGCGCCATCTCGTAGGTGGACAGTCAACACAACAGATAGAGGACGAAAATACGTTGAAAATACATTTAGAACCCGATAAAAAGAAGCGAGTAACGTGGAACAAGAATTCACTGGCATTGGTTAACTATGGTTTTGATGACGCTGCATCCGCAAACGGAGACGTTGTGAAACTTTCATCCATGTTAGTAAATGATGTCAGTGGTGTACCGAACGGAATAAATCAAGCAAATGATCATACCGAACCTATACCAATAACGCCTATCTGGATTGACAACGTACATGTAGTGACGGCAGTAAAACAAGATGAAGTCAAAGTAATCAGTGAGTTCAAACCAGTCTCTTTGCCAGAGCCAGACCCCCCTGTTACAGAAGATGTCGTTAAAGTTGTGCACACTAGTGCTGTTGCAAGCCCAGCCAAACTGAAATGGCTAATGCCAGTTAAAGGTAGCACTACCAGTCTCAACCATACCTCTGACCTGGAAACTCTCGACGAATTACCATCGACGTCTGAGGACGCAATTGGAACACAAAATTCTGCAGCGAACAAAATGCCACATAATCTTAAATGGACGACGGTTGATGAGGGCACACTTACATCTAAAAGTACAAGAGGTCGGTCTGCATCGGTACCGTCTGAGAAAACGGTGTCTATTTCAGATAGACACCCTATTCCTCGCCCAAGATCTTTTCACAGAAAAACCGCTAATACTCAATGTACCGGAGAGCTTGCACACCTAGACGATGGAAAAACATTACCGTCTGACGATAGTAGCCGATTGAGAACCTACTATGATGCCAGTGAACCTGATAGTAGAACAGAACCGAATGGATGGGCTGTGACACCAACAGACTTAGTGACTCAACCTGTCAAAAGCACAATGCCAACATATGCAACTGTAAAAAGAACAAAACCATCAAGTTGGTCCCCTTATAGGCCTAACAGATCTCAATCACTGCCTCATACAGCGATAATAGAAACGTTACCATACGATTTACAAGTACACCATGATGCATCAATCTACGCTACAATCGATGACATGTCTGGCAGTAGACCAACTATGCGATCTTACCCCAGCGAAACTAGATTACCCGACCCAGACGTCTTCACTGAAATTGTCTCGACTAAACATCCAATGGGGAAGCGGAAACCCATGAGTTTCACGGAACTCACATCAATATCCAGTTCAAAGCGACCATCTCTGGTAGACACTGTGCATCCAATGAAAGATCCATCGGTAATTTCAGGCATTAAAACAAATGGAATATTGAAGCAAAACGGGTTCATGACAACAAACAGACGAGCCAGTGCACCGGTATCACCTCCAAGAGATGAGTGCCCGGCTGCAATTTATATTTGAAGCTATTTTTAAGCGTACATATTACACATATTGTATCAATAGGTTTTCTTTGAACAATTGGCTAAATTATTGTTGTAGTCAACATAACTCTTTTCTAAATATATAAATTATAAATATAATATATGTATATATAACATATATTATAAAATACACCACTTCATCGAAAAAAAAAAACAAAACTATAGATGGCGCCATACAATAAGCAAAATAAAGCACATAGTGTATCATGTATGATGACAGATCAGTTGGCCGATATGGATACGTCGTATGTTGCTGCTCTGGTGTGTTAAAAAGAATAGATAACATTAAAAAAAAACAAAAAAAAAAACAAAAAAAAACAAACAAACAAACAACGACATGACACTTTTATTGAGTTTTAAAATACAAAAACCAAGTTTATTATTCCGATACAACATAATGAACAGAGACAAAATGACATGGGAGAATGAAGCTGTCTCTTATACACATCTAGATGTGTATAAGAGACAGCATATACATATACCAAACAATTCATTTATATCAATGAGTACGGCTTTTTAAATATTTCGACGTCAAATTTCATTATACCATTTCAAAGTACCATTTGAGAGGCAAGGTATTTTCTTGTTACAAAATTACAACTATGATATTACGTTTGTAATTTTTGTTTGAATATTAGCAATAATAGTAATAATAGTAGTAGTAATAATACCTAATAGGCCTATGATTGATAATAATGGCTCTGATGTTGATAATATATCAGAGCCGTCGGAACTGCACCGGCTTTGGCCGGATCACTTTTTCCTCAATTTTATTACTTTTTTTAATAAATATATACTGATACCTATACATTATATGAATTTATTATTAATGTTTGACTAACATTGTCTTTTTAATGTTACATGTTTAAACAAAAATCCACCATGCGTTTGTTTTTTCATTGCTTATGTACCGTTAACTCTTTTTAAAATCCTTAATTTTGATATAGAGGTATAAACATTTTGGGGATGGAGTCGGCCAAACTGCCATCACCACACAAAATGTAGGCCTATATGGGTCAAGAAGACGGCCCTGATTAATTGCAATCAAAATATAAACCCCTAAAGTGAAAGACATTAATGGTTTGTTTAAGTGTGCGATTTCCAGACAAAGGAGCCGTTTTCACAACCACGATGGAGTTCAGGTGCCGGGGTATGGTGCTAGTCCACTTTCAAACTCTAAACCCTGCATCTGCTGCCCCCTGCATGGGTTTGGAATAGGAGAGCTGCTTTGCAGGTTGCCATCTATTATTTCTGGGCATCTAGAGATGCCCTAATATGGCATCGCAAGATGCCCGGAAATAGCAAAAAATAGCAGAAAATATTATTTATGAACTCTAAATATAACTCTAGTTTCCACTAACTTGAAATCTTGTGTCTGCCTGTGTACAGCAGGATGAGGAGGACTAGCCTATGCTCCACATGTTTGTGCCAACTCTTATATCAGGTGCCATATTTCCAAAATTTGCTCATCTCAGTCCCAACCAAGATGGGGCTGATTTTAAATCTCGTGGCTGTCCCTTGAAAAGGGTGGGGTAGCGACTCTAGGCTTGCACACATAAATTATTTCCGGCAGGTGCAAAAAAGAGTTGTTCACCATTCATGGTGCAGCGGAGTGGATATATTAATTGAAAGATTAAATAACCTGCATAACATAATTATTGCAACACTATAACCAGCCCTCATCGTGAAAATATTACATTCATGTTTATTTTCATGTTTAGTAAAAAAAATTGAGATCAATGCTAAACTAACTAATGTATGTGAAGCTGGTTCCTTTGAATAAGAAACTACGAACTTGGAAATAATTGCACAGACAAATGAAACGAAAAAGTTGTCGAAAGTAGTTGACGAAGAGGGCAGTAAGGTTCAATGCGGGAATGCGGGCCATGCGGGCATTATGGGGGGTGTGAGTCGCTGATCAGAACATCAGAATCAGGGTTGCCATTTGGCCTTTTTGACGGCCAGATTCCTCAAATCTGGCCGTATAAAAATTTGCCTGGCTGTAGCATTTGGAAAGTCACGGCCAAACTATATTTGGCCGAATTTGGCCGAATTTTTGAAAAGTTTACATTTTTTTCAATATAGGTCTAATATAACATAGACTTGTTTTGGATATTTTGTTTTTGTTAGCTTAAATTCTATATTTGATTCTAATCGTGTACCTTTGTTTGTACTTGCACTAAATGCACTTAATCTATATTCCCCGATTCAGCCGATTTGACGTAAGAGAGTTTATTTAAAAGATAACAGTCACATTTAATAATTTAAATGGTTCGGATGAAATATATCGATAAGGTTTATCCTCGTTTAAGCTTTATGAAGACAGTTCATTGTTTGTACCATATTGTGTGTCTTTGTATATGTTCCATCTTCTATCTCTTTTGAATTTCTTTTGAATATAAATTAAATACAGTACTTTAATTAATTTATTATTGCCCTCTTGAATTGTATAGCCATAGGTGTCGCAGTGTTCTTTATGTAGAGCGCCATATATAAATGCTCGATTTGATCATTCGGGTCCGATGGCACCTCCAATTTCAAGCAAGTCTTGCAGAGACTTCTTCAAAGACACTCCTTAGTTAGGTTGCATATGAGAATGAAGAAGATAATTCTGATACTATAGCAACATTGATTTATTGCTTAAAGTACTGCGACAATAACATTCAGAGGCGAATTTGGAAAGTTTAGATAAAAAGTGTTTATTAACATTTTCATAGGTTTGTTTTAACGCCAGTGTTACCTAACTATATAACTTAATTCATTCTAATTAAAGAGAGCCACGAATTTGCCAATAACGGGCCCCTTAAAATTGTTGCTATAGATCGACTACAATGTACATTAATATTTAATGCATTTAAATCAAATTTAGATCAATCTTAATATTGTGAATTTCCTCTAAGATGGTGTTATCTCGATCGGACCCACTTTCGCCCCCCCTTCCCCTTTTTCGGCCCCGGCCTTCCCCTTTCGGACATCTCTGGATTTTCCCCTGAATTGACCTGGATGCCAGCAACTAAAGAACATAGGCTATTTATCTTTTGAATTTCTTCAATTTCAAAGGAATGAGCGCTGATTTTCGTATAATTTTTGTAGTATTTCAAATGAATGTACCCACTGTTGTCTTCTAATCGGATTAAAAAGATCTGGCCGAATTTTGGCCGATATCGAAAAAAAGTTTGGCCGAATTTGGCCGTGAGATGGCGTGTGTTTGGCCGTGAAGCCTGTCGACTATCTGGCAACCCTGATCAGAATATGAGTGTCTGATTATTTGCGCAAGGGATCGGAGTCACAATAGTTAATAGCGGCGCTATAGGATCTTTGGTTAAACAACGACTAAGCCTAAAGGTGAAGATAGGTCTGATAGAATAGATAATTCTATATTTAATTAAGGTTGTAGTAGTTACTAGTAAACACTTTGTCTTATTACGTCAATGTTCAGTCTAAGAAGGGGGAAGTCTAGGCCTAACCCTGCAGTGTAGCTAGAGTAGAGTTGTATCTGGTGTGGACTAGGCCTATAGGCCTATGTCAGGTCCATTTTCAATCTGATTCAATTGTTTATTTAGTGGTGGAGCCAGGATTTGCGAGGTCACCGACGAAAAAAGTGGGCGTGTCTGGCGTCGCTCAAAATCTCAATAAAGCTAGCCCCTGGTTTTCCAGGCGAATTTATTCGCGCGAACAAAAACGTCGGTTCGCTACCTGAGTTCTGGTTGCTTGCTCATTTTTTCGCTAGCATAAACTCCGATAGAAATGTGAATGTGCATGTGCTTGAGCCGCCGCTTTCCATTCGCGCAAATAAATTCGAAAACAGACTTTAAGCCGGTCCACTAGGCGAATTTATTCCCGCGAATCAAAGTCGTCGGTTTGGTTCCTGAGTTCTGATTGGTTGCGCACATTTTTCACTTTGCAAAAAGTAGAAACAGTTCGAACTACCAATTTCGCTGAAACGAAAACTCCGATAAAAATGTGAATGCGCATGAACAACGTTTTCAAATCGCGCAAATAAATTCGCCTAGTGGAAAACAGGGTTAAAGTGTTGCAAGGGGCGCAGCCCTGAAAAAATATATATATATATATATATATATATATATATATATATATATAGAAAATACAGGCCTTTATACATTTTTTTCTCCCCGACAAATTGTGGTGGGGTGGGGGGTAGCTCTCTCAAAGGTGGCCCAGACCCCCAGCCCACCTGCTGGTGCCACCCCTGCATAGGCAGATTCAAGTGGGTGGGACCAGCCGGCCGGGCCCCCCTAAATTTTCCAAAATTAAAAAAAAAATTTAGAAAAAAAGAAAATTATATTCAAATTTGAGTCTAAAAATGTCATTTCCGGCCATCTAGAAGTGCCATAATCAAAATTTTTCTTACTCAGTAACAACAATGTTGGCCCGCTATCTGTGAAAGTCCTTCTCTGGGCCCCCTCTATTTCAAATAAGGTAAAAAAACAGTCACTGTATTAATTAATTTTTAAGTTATTTCTGATACCACTAATCATTTCCTTGGCCTCAAAAACATATATATAGACACTAATATTACCAATATATGACTTAGATAAAGAAGTTATGACCTTTTTCATGTATTTTAACTGCCGAAGGGGTAATTTTTTCCCTGCCCCCTCAATTTCGTTTTTAGGCCCGCACTGTCCCATTTTTCAACCGATTTTCTTAAAAAAGGTATATAAATGCTCAGAACAGTACGCCGCTTCATTTAAGACCTGTACATTTGGTATTTGAAATATCACCATTTTATAGCCCACCACTATTTCAAATTCCTGGATCCGCCACTGCCCTGAATTTATTATTTTAACATACAGCTATTAATTAGCAATGGCGGCAGAACATTTTTGAAAGTGTCTCAGTCTGAGAGGCCATTTCATAAGGATGATAAATCCAGTAAGCAAGTGAAGCGAGCACCTAGGTTGGGGAGCCTCCAAGGGTCCACAGTGGGGATTTTTGCATGACGGATATGTTGCCCGTGCAGCCCGATACTCTCAAACCAGGGCCCTTCAGAACCTAGTTATGCCACTGGTAATATGTCTTCATTTGCAAAGGTCTTCCTAAATTATGGTTAATATTATTTTGCTACACCACAACTTTCTTGAGAGTATTTCTAACTAAAATAATAAAAATAAAATCTGTTTCCAACTTCTACTCTGTAACGAATTACAGACATTCGGGCCCAAAGGCGATCTGGCCCATTTTAAGGATGATTGGGCACAATTTGAAAGTGGGCCTGATCGTCCTGAGAATATGCCTGATAGTCTAGAAATGGGCCTGAATGTCATGGGCATAATCATCTTGTGGGCAAAATCATTTATGATTGATTGATTGATTGAAAAAAAAAAAACACTTCATCATGATCCAGGAAAATTCACACTCTGTATAATTATTAATATTCCATAATATATATTAAAATAAATAGGTCTAGAGGCCTACCTGTAGATGATAATTTTATTTACGATTCTTAATAGCAGTGGCGGTAAAAAGGTCATAATTTTTCCCACGTCCGAAATCCATCCAACTTTTTTCTTTAGTGGTATTCCAGGTTTCCAACAAAAATTGCTGTGTAAGTAATTTTTTGCCACTTTGGAGTTTTGATTCTGCGCACCTATTTTTATAGTGATTAGATTTTGAGTTATAAGCCACCCAATTAAAATACTTCACATTTGCAGGAATCAAGCTATGTCTGGAATCAAACTTACTTATGTTAAGGGGAGGGGTTTTGGCGAAAGTGGACGATTGATTATGGCTGCTGCAGGAGTGGAGGTGAGAATCATTTCCCTACATAATTCTAGATTGTAGGCTTTTTTCTGAGTGTTACTAGCCTAGTAGACAGGCTTAACTTTTTAGTAAATACATTTATTTCTCTGATCATTTATAACACTTGTATTTTCAGTGGGAAGAGGCACACCTCACAGACAAGGCGCAATTTGAAAAATTAAAGCAAGGTGAGTAGCAACGGCGGAAGGGGGAGGGGGGCCATTTCCCCCAACTCCCCCCCCACTTGTTGACAACACTAATGACAAACATTTAACGAACGCTGCAATGTTATTATTATTATGATTAATATTAGTATTATTATCATTAGGCCTATTATTATTATTTGCTGCTTACACTTTGTTTATTTATTATAAAATATAGATTTTTTTTTTTTCATTTTATAATGAACATTACAAGTTCCCTTTTTGAGTTGAGCAGCCAAATGTTGATTGACGTCTGTATACGTGCGTCTGTAAATTATTATTTGAAACACACCCTCGAGCATAAAGAAAAAAATCGTCTGCATTTGTGAATTCTGTATTTAGGCATATGGAGGGAGGTAGACAATCTTAATGGAGTGACATTCTAGTTCTCTTTATGCTAACCACGAAGATGTATAGTAAGTGTAACTGTCTATTTCGTGAATACTTACCTGGATAAACCGACTAATTGCCATTGTTCCCAAACGGAACACCCCTTCGAAAAAAATGGAACAGTGCGACCCAGGGCACCACGTACGAACCGTCTCCCTAACAAACGTCCTCATTCCCTTTTCGACCTTCGTTGGAAAGTGAACCTCCGACAGAGTGCTCAATCATAGAGTTGTTCCACGTGTTAGCATGTTCGTGTTCGCTACTTGGATAAGGATTTTCGGTTCTGGATTTTACTTTTCTAGCTTGGATTTTATTTTCAATAAGTTGCTGGATTCTGGAATTTTATTTTTCTGCCTTGGAAATAGTAAGTGTAACTGATTGGCTTACAGTAAACCTTAAAACTAGCGTAATATAACCACATTTAAACTAATTTAAAAAAAAACAATAAGATACTTAATTAGGCCATTTTCTGAAATAAAGTTCTCTGAAGGTTAACTACAGAATTATATTGAACAGCGGCAGATTTAATGGGGAACCCAGTCAGCACGGGACCCCATCCTCCTACTTTTTTTTAAATATTTCAAAAAAATGGAGAAAACAGACAAAATTGTATTCAATTTTTAATTCAAGAGTGCCATTTCCTGCCATCTAGAGGTGTCATAATGGGGCTGAGGCGAGTGGACATTCTATTTGCGCAAGACCCTCCCTGGAACCCCTCTATTTTGACTTCCTGGACCTGCCACAGTTTGAGTACCATTTCCGGGCTACATAGAAGGGTAATTTTTATCCATCGGGGGAAAAAGTGAAGTTTTCGTCGGGGAACCCATATTAAGGATAACCCTCATGATAAATAATCCATTGAGGTCGTGGAAGCAATCTTGACTTCGACTTTGTTCAGAAATCTGTGGCGTGTTCAAGTGGGGGGAGGGGGAAGGCTAAATTAAAAAAAAAATTTTTTTTTTAATGGAGATATACATTGGGGGTGGGGGGAGGTGAATTCTAAATTGTTCAATTTTTTTTTTTTTAATGGAATTGTAAGGAAAATTATATTCAAATTTTAAGTCTGAGAGTGTAAATTCCAGCCATCTAGAGGTGGCATAATCACAAATTTTCTTACCCCATATAGATTCTCCATCTGCTGAAGTACCCAGTGGCGGATGCAAGAGGACCCAGCCGGCCCGCCCCCTACCCCCTTAAGTTGTTCAATAAAAAAATTTAGATAATTATATTCAAATTTTATATCTGGAAGTGCAATTTCCGGCCATCTAGAGGTTTCATAACCACAAATTTTCTTACCTCAGCCCCAACCATGGTGGGGCTGAGGTAGTATAGATCTTCTATCTGTGAAAGTACCCTCCCTGGGCCCTTCTATTTCAAATTCCTGGATCGGCCACTAAATTACAACAAATATGAAATCATATTACAGTAGTTTGATGCCTATAAAATTCACCAAACTTCGTAAAATATTCGTAGCTTCCAGGCGGCTTCGCCCCCACCGGGGGCCCTTGGCATCCCCCTGGCACCAGGGGGCTGCCAAGGGTGGGGGGGAGGATGGGGGACTTAAGTCCCCACCACCGTACAGGTCAAGCCCCCCCCATCGGACATGTCAAGCCCCCTACCCCCGGACTGAGTTTGTCGGGCAGTCAGACCATAAAAAATATAAAAATTGGCCCACACCAAGCCAACACATGTCTGTCACAGTCTGAGAGTGCCATTTTCGGCCATCCACGTGTCCCTATTTTTTTTTTTTTTATCTCATCTCAACCCTTCCGCCTGCTAGCCATATGAGCTCAATCCCTTTGTCGGACAGCTTAGCGCCCCCATCCCCCCCAAAAAAAATGTATTGTACAGCCGCCAGTACAAATAAAAATCCCTAGTAGGTTTTTCACAGGGACAGTTTGTATGGCTTAGTATGTCCCACATTGAGCACAATATTACTAGGATTGGCATTCAAAATAATTGGATAGGCACATTATTATTGTTGGTCCGGCAACCTCTTGGCGTCTGGCGATGAGGGTCCAGGCCTGTCCGGAGAGGTGAAAATGTCCTCCCATTCTCAGAAAAGTGTAATTTTCAAATTTCTAAATTTAAATTTTTAACTAGATGGGTTGCTGATGTTTGGGCAAGTTCCATTGTTGCAGATTGATGGATTGAATATTGTGCAGTCAAGGGCCATCATCCAATATTTAGCCAATAAATTTGACATGGCGGGAAAAACTGCTGCAGACAAAGCAAAGTAAGTTCTTCTAACTGAAGCCTAGATGAGTGTTTTTTTATAGTATTTGCTGTATTTTAAATATAAAGAGGTTTACTACACAAAATTTCCTGTATGTGTTGGGGTGTGGGTGGGAGTGTGTGCAGGGGTGGATGGGGGTGGGGGGAACAGACCGCTCTTCCACTCCCTTTGGGAATAAAAAAAAAGAAAGAAAAAATAGATAGCCCAAAACGCCTCGGAAGCTATTTTCGGGCTTCTAGAAATCAAAAATTTTGCGGGGCATGCCCGGAACCACTAGGGTGGTGTTATCTCAATCAGCCCCCACTTTGGGCCCCCCCCTTTCGGACACCTGGATCTGCCCTTGGTGTGTGTGTATGTACGTATGCATGCAGATGTGCAGTACAGAGAGCAAGGAGTAAATCTGAAGGCTACAGCAGTAGGGCCACCCTGTAGCCGATGAAAATTATTTACTATCTAAAGAAACCATGACGGAAGTTCACAGGTCAGCAATGTCGGCTTGCAACTTTGTGTTGGGGCTGGTAGGAAAACTGTGTAATAAAGATGAGATGAGGCAATCTAATTTGAATGGCAAACAGGGCCATCGCAATTAGACCCTGAACGCATTTGTAAAGAGTAAGGTCTTCTGTTTTTATGGGATTTTGGTAAGTGAACAGACGCCAAACTGGAAACAGTGTGTCATATCCATTAACACCAGACAGCTACGAAAACCACCACCCTAGCCTGTGCCCCAGAGATATGGAAATTAGGACTAAAGATCAAACCAAACGGCTCTTTTCAGATCCACCATTTGAAAGAGATGAAGTACTTATGATGAAATGCAAGGACACCACTCCATTCCCTACACACATTACAATATAGGGCATCTTAAGCTCATTGCTAGAATTAACATAACAAAAATAATGATTATTATTACAAAATGAGCTAAATTCATGAATTGAAACCATTGAATAAATATGTACACAGTACTTACAATGTTTCGATCTTCTATCAGTTGAACTTCATCAGGTACTGACGGGTGCTGGTACTACTTGCATTGTGAGGTGTTAACGCAACGCCCTATATCAGCTCTCCTTTCAGGGTGGTTGCCGGGGGCCCTGGCTTTTCAGGCTGTAGTAGATGGTCATACATGTGAGAAAGACAGTATGCTTTATCATCTCTGTTCATGGTATTATTTCCTTTTCTGATCCACAATGCTTTTCTGATTTGTCATTTTTGGTGCTTCAAATTTATATAATTAGGAAGAAAAGTACATATCTTATTTTTTGGAGATTTCAAGGCAGCAGCGGTCGTAATAAAAATAAAGAAAGACTTTTATTTATTTTTCTGGAATTTCCACTTTTTCGTGGCGGCGGGTGCGCTAATTGACCAAAAATAAAATTTTATTTTTATTTGGAATCATCAATATTTGCAGTCGCCGGGTTCGCTAAACAAGGTATAAAAAAAGTCCCGCCCAATGGATGATGTGTTGGCTTTTACGTATTTTTTATGTTCTTCCAGTCTAGTTTTTTCCTGGAACATTCAACCCTAGACTTCATTCGGAGGCCCTTAAAAAAGGTAAAGGTAGGAGAATAACAATAACTTGCAGCGTCATTGTACTGAATTGCGTATGGGCGTGGTCTGTGACTACCTAGCTGCCGTAAAGAGGCAATTATTGTAGCTACATGTTCACATCCTTCCCAGCGTCAGGGGCTGAAATGAACCATAGCATCAGCGTAACCCCCTACTCTTTTGAAATACTGTATGCAATGGGTTATAAAAAAACAATTGGAATTTTTTTTATTCTCATTATCATTATTAGTTTTTTCTTTTTTTTATTTGTGTTATTCTGATTACCTTTTGGGAAATTGTTGCATGTATTTTCTACTATAACTGCCAGCAAACATCAAACCACCAATCAACCAATTATTTATCTTTTAATATTTTTTCCTATAATTTGTTCTTGTGTGTCCCCTGCAAGAACAGGCATCAGTTTGTTACTCTTAATTGATTCTTGTTTTTATATTTTTATTTATGTAGAGTAAATATGATAATTGAAGGTGCCAAGGACTTTGGTATATTTCATGGAATTGCCTTCCACCCTAAGGAATCCCAGGCAGGTTTGATTGCTGAGAACAAGAAAAAAGCCGAGAACAGATATCTCCCAGCTTTTGAAAAGGTAAGCAAGTGCAATGATTTAAATACTCGATTTCCAAATCAAATTATTATTCAATATTGTTTTTAGCTAATCAAGATGTTAGTATGACTTAATTAATTGACCAGATTGCATTGACAATCAAGAAATTGTGTAACCATTCATTCATCCACTCTGGTTTTTATTAAAATGATGAAATTTGACATTGCAGCATTGCACTGAATTGCGTCAAAATGCCATCAGAATAATAAACATTTTCTGTTAAAACCATAAAATCTGAACAACACCACCATCGGAATAATATATACATAGATATAATATATATTATTATAGTAATATAATTTCTATATAGCTATATATTGACATTTAATAAATATTATGCATAACAGTTTCTCTTCACACAATATATATACAAACTTTTCTTAAATTAACAAATAAAAATATATATTGACATTTAATAAATATTATGCATAACAGTTTCTCTTCACACAATATATATACAAACTTTTCTTAAATTAACAAATAAAAATATATATTGACATTTATTAAATATTATGCATAAACTGTTTCTCTTCACACTAATGAGTATGTGGTAGCAGTTGCAGTTACCAAGAGGTGTCAGCAGGAATATCAGACAAGTCAGGCCCCCCTGTCATTGGATGCCTCTTGATGTCATCTGATTATTGCAGTTCCTCATGTGGTCCAAAACCAAACTTTACTCTCTCTCCCTTGACCTCACAGGAAGTTCTACTCTAGGACCCTGATCAGAACCCCAAGGCAGACCCATGGTTTGGATCCATTTTGGACTAAATTAGTTCCAAGTGGGATAGGTTTAAGTACTAAAAATGACCATTAAGTTTTCATTGGAATAAGGATTTAGTCTGCATTCTCAATTTTTGGAAGCCCTCACCCCCCCCCCCCCTTTTCAAGATGAATACCAGCTTATGCATGTTATTGATGAATATCGTGTTACATTGCCTGTTATTCATCAATAATAATACAACTTGTGTATTGTATTTACAGGATAAAATTACATTTGCATTATATGAATAAATAGTGCATAGATATTAGCTAATTACATGATAAAAATTATCTGAAGAAATTAGTTTTTATTTGATTTCTGTTGTAGTTGTTGAGTGGCAGTAACTCTGGGTATTTTGTTGGAGATAGTTTAACTGCTGCTGATGTTTTGGTATTTGAGGATCTTCTCTTCATGGAAGACTATTTGCCAGGACTGACTGCTTCGTATCCAAAACTTCAGGTGACTCTTAATTTATATAACATTTCGTAGTAGTAGTAGCACGATAGTAGTACTTGGCTGAATTTCTTACAGGCATGGGCAAACCTTAAAGGTCATTTTGTAGCTTCTGATAGGTCTGGTAGGTGCTTTCTTTCATGTGTCCACTATGGTGCAGGACCTGAGTGGACCAGTACACTGGTGTTAACCTCCTAATGACTGAATGGCAAGTCGAATGGCCACTGGGCCCCTAGGCATCTCCCCAGGAACCCACCATTGGCGGCATCACATCCACAGGGCCCAGGGTTATCCTTAGGTGGCCCTTATCAATTTCTTTGTGTTTAAATCAGTTATCTCTGTGTATTTATTGTTAAATTAAATAATCTTGAATCTTGAGTCTTTATTAATTAATTATTTATTTTTACTATTAGGCCATATTTAATTGTTTGTCTCAAAGCTTCCGCGCGCATTAATAAATCATTCTCACCTAAAAAAAAAATGCTTTCAAAAAAATGTTGTCTCGCTCGAATTGTAACCTCCTTTAGCCTACAACATGTGCATGTTAACATACTATAATTCTTGAATGAAGAGAGCCCTCTAATGAACTTTTTAAAACCCAGTATTTTTTAGATCTCACACATGTTCATCGCAGTAAATTTTGCATCTATTTAATCTTTGTTTTCGGCTTTAAAACTCAACTCAATGATTGATTGCTTTATTTATTGAATTGTCCATGGATGCTGTGTTTGAGTAGAATCCACAATCTAGGTATGTAAGATGGTAAAGATTATTGATTGAAGACAAACTTGTGTAGAGGCCTACATTGAGATCAGGCAGGCTTAGAAACAGGCTAGGCCCCTCAGTTTTGATTTATCTGCTTATTAGACGTGGCCTAGATATGTGAGGGAGTTTCTTTTTAATTCTGTGAAGATATTGGCTTCTTTTCGTGCATAGATAGTTATGTACTGTGTAACCAAAAGGTGAAATTATCACATACAATACCACAATGAAGCAAAATAATACAAATTAATCTAGTAGACCTCACGTACTGTGAGATTTCCTTCCAGCAAATGCTAGCTCTGAGTATATGTTTGAAATTGTATATATGATTGTTATTCATTGATGTCAGAGAACATAGAAAATAAATAAGACATGACTGAAATTTAGTTTGTATCAGCATTGTTTATTCATGGTGTTCATGGTCAATTCAACCATGAAAATATTTTATTAAAACATGTTTAAAAAACTAAAAAACAAAAACGTGTTCTTCATTACATTTTTGAAAACAGGAGAGCTTTGAGACAAACAATTAAATTAATATGGCCTTATTATTAGTACAGTAGTATTATTGGCTAGAATATTTTCTTTTGCTGTCTTCCTTCCATCTTTACTTTTTTATATGTCTGTATTTATTTTGTTGGATGTGTAAGTACAAAGAGACCACACATATCTGTGTTATGCTATAATAATGTTCTCAAGTTAAAAAAAAAATACTGTAGGTATGTGAGTACTGTTCTAATATTCCCCACAGAACAGAATATAAATGAATATAGAAATCCCATTCTTGCCATATTTATAACATGTGTTTTTTGTTTATTTTTTAGGTTTTCTTTGAAAAAATGAAGGGTAACCCAAAACTGTCTGCATATTTAAGCAGTGACAAACGTTTTCCAATCCCAGATGACAAATATGTTGCTGAGGTCATTAAAGTCCTCTATTGAATTTTGTTCAGGGGTATTATAGTAAAAATGTCAACTACAAATACAGTCATTTTATATTATAGTTTGTAATATGTATAGAAGTCAAGAAAATATTTTTATTGAATTTGTTCAGGGCTCCCAATATCAGGTACAACAAAACTCAAAATGTTCAGGGAAATTAATATACAGTATATCACAATATAACACAACTTTTGTATCTGTCAAAATTAATGAAGTACTACACTTGAAATGATGATTTTAACATTGTTTTAGAATAATTTTCGGAAAATAATCAAAAAAATGTTATGGTTTTGCAGTGATTTAATAGTTAATATGTATTTATATTAGGATTTTACTCAGAGTAGCCTACAATACACTCAAATTGTTTGATTTAGCTAGAGGATTTTACTCAGTGTACAATACATTCAAATTGTTTGATTTAGCTAGATTTATGTGTACATGTGGCTGGTGGGTGGGGGAAGAAAAACCACTGAGTGGGGGGTGGGGCAACAAATAGCAAATTTGTGCCACTTAATGGGGTTAAAATATTAAAAATGACCTTTAAGATGACAATAAAGATGATGATGACGACAACAACAACAATATTTTAAATTAACTTTTCAGTTCTTTCAGGCATATTCATATTTCGTAGTCTTTTGTTGGAAGACTCCATTTTTATCATTAGCGTATGACTCATCCCATCATTCTTCCAACTGGATTTACTTTCACAATTTACAATTGAAACGATAGCTAAGTGTGTACTGCCCCCATGGGGCAATAGCCACAAAAAATGACTCTAAACCTGCAGCCTGACGGTAGTGATATCACCGGTCCGATGATGTTTTGTTGTATGAACGCTTTGTCTGTACAGAATTACTAAATATACTAGAAATTGCAAATTGCAAGTGAAGTGCTGCGAAGTACAAATGCATATAAATGTTCTTTGAACAAAATTATTTATGCGAGTCAAGTGAAAATAATGAATAATAAAATTATAACAAATAATATGAGACACGACCCATTGGGTAACAAAGTCGTAATTTTTCATTTTTGTCAAAAAGTGTCTATATGTGGTGAATTATGGTTTAGGTTTTTTTTAATAAAGTTTCAAAAATTTCTATGTATGTGGAAAATGTAGTTGATTACCAAAGGTTATAATTTTTATTTTGAAGACTGCATGGTCTAGGAAGTGTACATTTTTTTATGGGGCAAGTTTCCAAGGGCGGGTTTTCTTGGCGAGTTGACTGCCAAAGAGTGTTATCAAAGTGCTAGCCAGCGTGTTATTTAATCACAAGTGCGAGACATATCACAAGTGTGAGCCAGCGAGCCATGACGTCACGACAATAGATAGAGACGTTAGCCGGTTGTGCGAGGTGTCGCCTGAGATTTGTGGAGTACAATTCAAAAAACAACTGTAAGTCTAATAATGAATTATTGTGATGTTAAATAGACAATGTTAGCTATCAAAGAGCGACGTTTTTCATTTTGGACCTTCGTCCCTTCAAGGCTAGGCCTATAATACCATCCTAGCTAGTCTAGGCCTAGAGTAGGATAAGGCTAGCGCGACATGCGGACGTTGGTACGAGTAGGTTAGTCTACAAACGTCGCCTAAAGTAATTGATTTTACCCGGCAAAACGAAAGAAGGAAACTCCGCTTTTCAGTCCTTATAGGCGCTCGTTTTTTGACAAACAACGACCTTTCAGAGGTCAAATTGCTGTCAAGAATATGAATTGGCTGCTTCGCAGCAATAATGGTCAATAATGTGAAATGAACATTAAATATCTAATTGACTTTTTTTCTTATACTTTGAGAAAAATTTCCCACTGAAATAACATGAACGAACGGTATACTGGGTATATTGTACATAGACCAGCCTAGAGAACATAATAATGTGTAATTTTAAATATAAGCTTAATGACATATGTATGTGTTAATAAAAATAACGCAAAATATATAATAGAAAAGAAGATAAGGGCAGTTTGCAATTGTGTACTAAAAGCTATATAATAATCATAATCGCTCATTATATTTTACGTTTTTGTAGTAAATTTTTTGGCACAAATCATCAGATGTCAAGGTGCCAAGTCTATCACTTTTCATAATTCGACATATGGGGGTGGGGGCGCTTCTTATTTTCAAAGTGAATGTTGTAAATTTTGGGAATTACTACTGTAAAACAATAGAACTACTAAAAACATTTTTCAACCATGAAATCCTGTTAAAAAAGTTAGAAAATCGTTTTTTAAATTACAGTATTTTTTATCGAATCACAGTCTGTATCATGGAGTGTATTAATCGTCATTAAATCACCTAAACTAAAGTATGTTTCCAGTTGATATCCCAGTTTCATTGAAATTCATATACAGTACATTATCATATTTAGGCCTCTCAGCTGCTTTTCTTCGAGATGGATTCCTTTTTGAGATAACTTTAATTAGTGAAATTGTTTGTGGTCTTTGCAGGAATTGAACACAGGACCCTAGGATTGGATGGAAACATCTATTGCATTTTTTTAAAATTTTTTTTTTTAACTGAAGTCACCAAAAACAAGGCTTGGAAGCCACTTTTAGAAAAGGGGTTACTTAACTATTATTTATATGCCATAAAATACCTGAGCCACTTCATAGCCTGTCAACAACGCAAATTGGGGAATCTTAGCATGGCCGGCCGAGATTGGACAGTGTGTGGTTTGAACTCCTGACCAGAAGTTCAACAACCAGAATGGGAACCACTAGATCTCTAAATCAATGACGTGGAATAAACAATGTATTGTATATCGGTACTTGTTTGAAAATATTTATTAGAAATTTTAGAAATGTTTTCAGAACAACATTATATTCAATATATTTCAAATTGATTGTTCAAATCATAGATAAATAATTTTATTTCCAGTATAACCATGTGTTAAAATATTGATCTTTAATAGAAGAATCAACAGTATTATACAACATGGAGGAAATGAACATGGTTCTATGGTGCCTCAATAATTAGGTGACATTACTCTAACCATCCTAGAAAAAATTAGAGCACAGCTCAGAAGTGCATTGCAATACAGTAGTAGTAACTCAAAAGTCCAGACTCTCCATTCCTTTGTAAGTTCTTGTCCATTCTGTATTATTTGTCTTGGGTAAAAATATCCAATCACATGTAGTAGAAGATGCTCATTCTCATGAACCCCCTGTGATTGGCGGAAACTCTAACTTTTCAATAACTTCCTTTGTTACATCTAAATGAGGATGTATTTGATTGGCATCTGTCAGAGCTGCTGGCGACACCTTTAATTCACTGATTTTCTTCTCTCGACTTGTGTACTCACGAATAATGTAATTTTTATCAGCCTAGAGTTTAAAAATATAAAGGTTGGTTACTGATAAAATGAAATAGAAATATATACCTTTTGCTTACAGGAAACAACGGCTGAAGCTGCGCACTCACTGCGACCGATGCGATTCTATAAAAAAAAACGCGACGATGGACGCGCAATGGATTGTTTATAATGAACATCCATTCAGACGACTACCGAAAATCAGCAGACGGCATCGCGTCGTCTAACGCTGACAGGGAGGGGAGTTGGATCTCTCGTGCGACAGCCGTACGGCTGCTGTACGATACAATGAGTGCCCAGCTTTAAAGGCTATATTCTGAAAGACAGTGAGCTCATTTGAAACTTGCATTTCAGCCCTCCAGCTGAAAATCAAGCAGAGCAGCGATGGGAATTGAGATAACCATGGTTCAGCACACACACAGTATAGCCAACTGAACTTAAAAAGAATAAATTTTTGTAAAAGAGGATTCATGTACCAGCACTAATACTGCAGATGCTACAGGTCATCAGCCCATGTTAGTCAGACAAATTCTACTTACCTCATGGTAAAAACGTGTGTCATTTATTCGGATTAAAACACCATCTACTCGTAAATAGAACCTTAATAAGACAAAGAAACTAGTTTGCATAACTCTCTGAAAAAAAAGAAGAAAATCTACATTAGATATTAAATTAATCATGTAACTTGTGAATTGAAGCTGCAAATTCACTTGATGTAATGCAGGCCAAAGGAATCACCCTCCACATAGAAAATAGTCCACATTTTTAAGGCAATTGACAATGTACTGAATATGAGAGTTATTTCTGTAGTGATCTAACCAGCTCCCCCACCATGTTGGTCCAACTTTTTTTATAAACAGACTCACCAATTTAGCAGTTAGCATTGCACAGCCATTGTCTGCTAGCTCATCTTCAAATAGTACAATTTCATCAAAGAAATAAATCTTCTCTCGTACCTTCAGCTTTTCAACATCAATTCTGAGGTCGGTGGGGTGTATGACCTTCAATTCAAAAGGTGTAAATTAATTAATTATCATCAATTAATTAATGAAGTATCGCAATCATCTCTATAAGAAAATACAAATATATAAATTTTTAATTTCTTATAAATTTATTTCCTCAGTTAAAATCTGTACCCCCTCTAAGGATGTTATAGAGTGTTAATCATTCCATTAGCAGCTGAAGGAATTTTTTTTCTCTAAATAGTAAATAATTTATAGTATTATCACAGGAAAGAAGCAAAGAAAGATAATTTACATTAGCTTTAGCATAAGTTTATTTTTTTTTTTGATATACATTTTATTGAAAGAAGTTGATAACCTATTTGTTTCTTTAAATATTGCAATTAATTGTTTTAATTGAAATTTGGAGGACTTTCCAATACTTTACCACAAACAGCATATATCTATTATGTTCTTACTTGAATCTTTGCTTTAGTTTCAAGGCATGTTCCTTTGTAATCTGTTGTATATGTCCAGTCGAAAGGTTTTACGACTTCTTTGATGAACTCATTTGTTTTTCTGCAAAATGAATGACAAAAAAATGATATGAAAATACTGAGAACCGGCCAAGTTGTTTTTAATCTTGTGAAAAATGTTTTTAGACCTTCAGTCACCAAACTACAACTCCTATTATTGTTAATTTATATTTTAAACTTGTCTTTTTAAATCAAGTAGTGTATTAATTGATTCCAATACTAACTGACAGCAAAAACTAAATCTAAATCGCACATTTACCTAGCCTCTTGCCAGGCTTTAGCAACTGCAACTTTTAAAAGGTCCTGATGAGCGTCTACTAGCTTCAAAGCATCCAGGGCGTTGAACTCTATACCAAATCCAGCTTGATGTTCGATTCTTAAGACGTTATCTCCAAACACCATCTCAGGCAGTTGGGGCAGCTCAAGTGAACGCTGGTATCTATTCCAAAATTAAATATAAGCGAGGACTAGATAATTTATTCTAGTATTTAAATAATAACATGTACAGTAGGGAACATTCTTTTTTTTTAAATCATTTTCATTAACCAATCATTATTCATTCAATATTATAATTTTACTTTCTAATTAATATAATATTATTTTAATTATTTAAAAAATAATATACGATTAAATAACAATTTAAAATGTTTAAGAACAGTGATTTTCGGAGCTAATTGGTACATTTTTGCTTCTGCTAATTAATCCAGTAAAAAGTGATTAACATGGTTTGAAGAGCAATTATTTAAAGATAGTAAATTTAGATCTGTTTCCATTAAAAATTTGAATTTACAATTGCCATACGTAAAACTTTCAACATAATAATAATGAAAGTATATATTAACCTGCACACTACACAAGGTCCTTCTTTGGGGTCACTTCCAAAAATCACCGAACACTTTTGTGGGCTTTGGCAGACAGACTTTAAGATGTGGCCCTTTACACTTGTTATGGTCCAAGGACCAAAGCTAAATGTTTCTGTCTTTTTCGTAGCCTTTGGTTCTGTCATGATGAATCTGGAAACATAATTTTAATATTCATTATAACTTCATAAGTGCTGTGGGCCTATTTTTTTATTTTGCAAGGGAAACTATTAAGAAAGGCTGTGGCTAGCCTATGCTTACGCTTTAGTGATTAAAATACCAAAGCGCTGATTATTCGACTTGGCTTTACCCTAACCTTTAAAATAACTCTCACTATTTTTTAATGCACTACATCTCAGCATAGCCACTACTGTTGATGAAGAAAATAGGACTAGCCTAGCCTATAGTGTCCTAGCATTTAGGTTTAACCACTATAACAACACCCTGGCCTAACTATATATGCCTAGGCTAACGGGTGCAGGTCAACTCGGCCACAAGTCAACTCGGCCACAAGCAACTCGGCCACAAATCAACTCGGCCACAAAAAGTTCGGCTACAGCCAACTCGGCCACAAGCCAACTCGGCCACAAGTCAACTCAGCCACAAGTCAACTCGACCACAAGTTATTTAATGTAAATCTCTGCAGTTTTTGCATCCTTTTTCTACAATATAATGATTAAAATAAAGTACAGTATATTTTAGTAAAACAGGACCACCACACTACCAAAAGAGATTTGAATGCTATTGCCTATGAATTAAAAAGAGTTATTTATTAATGTGTTCGTCTTCTGTTTACTCACAACATTCTACTTCAACAATAATATTAAACAAAAATAACGACAATAAATTAATAATATTTACTTTAATAATACTAATTAGTCATTATTACGATAATAAAGGTGATAACAACAACAACATTAATAGTAATATTTATTTTAACAATACTAATAGTAATAATACTAGTATGGTAATATTACGATATTATTTAAATATCAATTTTAATAACTAATTAGTGATAATAACGATATTGAAGGTGATAATAGCAATAATACAACAATAATAAATTAAAGATAATGTTTTATATAATATAATTTATAATAATAGTATTACTAATTAGTAACAATAATAATAATGATACTTAAATACTAGGCCTACTTAGTAATATTATAGGGTAATAATATCGATAATAAGGTGACAACAACAACAACAATATTAATAATAATAATATGAGAAAAATACCAATGAAACACCAATAACAATAACTTTTTAAATTACTATTATTAAAATAATAATACTAAGACTAATATAAATAATAATAATAATAATAATAAATCGAAAATTATTTATTATTTATATGGTAGTGTAATAATATCAGCAAAAATTTGAACAATACCGTATATATGTTAATGCTAAGACTAATAATTAATATTAAAACTAACGGTAATAAAAACAACAATAATAACAGCAATAATAATAACAATAAGTATAGTAATACTTAAAGAGTTAGTATTTTATACTTGATGAATTATTCCTTCAAATTGTAGTACCAGTAAATGACTTGTGGCCGAGTTGACCTGTGGCCGAGTTGATTTGTGGCCGAGTTGACTGTAGCCAAACTTTCTGTGGCCGAGTTGACTTGTGGCCGAGTTGGATCGAATTCGCCTAAAGTCCTTGAGCCTAGGAGAGGGAGCTTAAGGCATACGCCCTAGAAAAAGACTTAGAGGATAGCCCTCCCACCTACCCAGACCTAGGCCTCTACACTAGGCTAGCTAGGCCAGCTTGGCTAGGCCCTAGGCCTTGCCTAACCTAGGCTAGTCCTATGCCTAGCCCCTACCCTAGCTCTATTTAGCCTAGGCTTGGCCTAGGCCTAGGCCTAGGCCGGTGAGTTTCGCAGCCGGCAAGCTTAAATAAATCTGTATTAGAATATTACATATTTTTATGGTGAAATTAACTGAAATCAAGCTGGAGCCATTTTAAGAAGTAAGGACTTTTACCGTAGATAATAATTTTAATTAAATTTCACCGTCGCCAATCCAAAAACAGAAACGCGTGTGGAAAGGTCGTCGGGTCATTTTATGTTCCCACCGTAAATCGCGTCAACTCACGTCCACTTGCGTCAACCAAGGAATGCAGACGTTCAACAATGCTATTAGATTAGCACATGGTAGTTTCATGATTGACGTATGTTGACGCAACTTGACACAAGATAGCGGTCATAATTCTTTAGCGAACAACTTCAATCTTCAATGCAAAGAACAGCGAAGCGTCCTTGGTTACAGAAATCCTATAAAGATAAATGACAGAAAATGTAAATTTACAAGTTTGACAGCTATTAACAAGGTATGTATAATGGAAAATTTATAATTATGTTCACCAATTAAATACTTTCTGTCATTTCCATGCTTTTTGTTTTCCAAATTTGTGGATTGTTTTCCTCTATCGATCTCGTCTTGAGAAACAACACAACACAGAGAGTACGACGTAGGCCTAGCTAGGACCCTACACATTCATAAGAATAGATTAGATAGGCGAGCTATGTGTGACTAGACCCTAGGGCTTAGGCCCTAGTCCTAGGCTAGGGCTACATGAGAGAGGATGATGTAACATTCACTCTTTTAGTATATTTTAACTTAAAGTTTAAGTTTAGGCATGGTCTTTGTATACTATAGGTCTATTCTAGGCCTAGCTACTGTTTACTGGTGGTAAGAATCCTATGATATTGATTATTGTTCACATTTTTTTATTTTTTGTTGGTTTTCTTCCCAAATAAGGGGGTAGGAGGCCTGCCATGCTGTAAAGTGTAAAGTATTTTAATTGAATGTCAGTCAATTCAAGCAGATCCCAGTTCAAGAGGATAATATTGCAAACTATAAACAAAGCCGAATTTATCCAAAAGGAGCGATTAGATCGTTGTTTGTCGCCCTCATTCTCATATTTTAGGGCAAAATTTGACTTGCCAGATGACTGCTAACAAGCCCTTATATTTTTCAACTATTAAATTGTGAACGTTTCATTCTGAATTCACAATTTTTGTCTCCAGTTTGGGATCACTTTTGTATTTGAAAAAGCAAATTATATTTGAAATATATAGTGTTGTAATTGTATTTGTAAATTTATGATGATTATATTTGTAAATGAGAATAGGACTAACTGTAATTGTTATTCATCATAGAAATTTGAATTATATTTACATTTAGGTGTCACAAGCCTGCACAAATCATTGATGCAGTGTGACAAGACTATCAACAGTACAATGACATTGCAACTGTAAAAATGAAGACGGGTAGGTCATACATAGGCGGATTTAAAATGGGCAGCCGCACCACCCCACAAAAAATTTTAAAAATTTAAACAGGTTATCAGCTGAAAAAATGCTAGTACCAATGCCCTAACAGTATAGTACAGTAATATTAAATTTTAATTTGAAGAGGGTGACAAACCATCAAATAGATGGCTCAAAATAGGAAATTTTAAAGTAATTTTGACATTAACTCGCACAGCCTGTTGTTCGCAAAAGTGGATCTTTTCCGCTCGAAGTAAATTCTGCTCTAATCTGCATACCCACGGTTCATGGATTGCTCCTGATCCAAAAAAATACCACTTATTTTCTAGGGGAATAAAAAATGATGTCCAAAACTCTCCCTTTTCTAACCCAGCCCTCACAACAAACAAAAAAATTAATTTCTGAATTTATTTCAATTTCAATTCAATTTCAATTTATTTGCCTCCCATGCCTTATACATACAATAAAATACATAAAATATAAAAAACCTAGGCGTCTTATGACTACAGTGGTTCAGCAATGCATACTAGTAGTTTTCTTGTGTGATAAATGTAGTGATTAGTTCGCTGTTTAGTTTGGCTCAGTAAATTAAAATAAATTTAATTCATATCTTTTTCAAAAGTGTATATTTTGAGCATGCATTGTTTTTTTAATAGCCCAGAACAAAACTATAAATGAATACAGTACTACAAGGAAGGCGTTATTGTGTAATTGAGCTACCTATGCAATCACCATGGCAACGAAAACTACAACCAAAGAGAACCAGTCATCGCGGGAGAAGAATCAGATTGCATCTCTTAGAGAACCATCTTACCCAACACAACGAATGACGCAATCTGTAAAGAAAACAGCTGTTGTGAATCCAGTAACAAACGAACAATATCATACCAGAAAAATGAAGACCAAGATGAGTCAATGGACACCGGTTCTGCACAAGCCATCTAATGAACAAGTAGATTATTTCCATAATTATTCTTATTGTAACACACCTAAATAGATCATTATCATTTGATTGGTGGATTTTGTATCACGTGACCTAGTTTATTTACGCCATTTGTCACTCATGAAAACTGAGTTCCATCCGTGCATTTTTTGTTCCATTTGTTTTGTCCCATTGCACACCTCCACCTATGATGTTTTCATTGTTTGAAAGATGATGGACTGTTCCATTCTGAAGAAAGATAGTTGATTACCAAATTGTTGTAAGTTCTTTGTGTTAAACCTTTTTCGTATTCATGCTCCGCCTCGTTGAATGGAATAGTCAATCTGCTTTCAACTCATGAAAGCTTGCTTCCGATTGCACTCATAAACATTATTTGTATTCCATTACTTACTATTTAAGATTTGTCTTTGATGTTATGAACTATTTTCATTATAACGTCATACATTATAAAAGTACATTATGAATATTATATTTACTCACTTGAAAAATGAAATAATTTAAACTATTATCTAATTTCAGATTTTTGTTGAAAGACGAGATCTGGTAGCTCATTGGGTAAGTCTTGGCAAAAGGTAAAGGTTGAAACCTGAAGCTCTGGGCTCACAAACCGGAGTGCCCATCTGTCTTTCCTTGGCAAAATTGTCATGATTTTTATTAAAATGTTTTTGTTGGATGTTTATTTTCTTAAATAAAATATTTTTTTAAAAGATTCTATTTTATTTTTTAGTTTGATCTTTGGACAGACTCACAGCGAAAAAGATTTTTCAACTACCTTTTACATCGATCAAAGAAATCACAACTCTCATTTATTCAACACTGGTTTCAAGAGCGTGTACCTGTCCGACACTTGGATTTTACTACCGTTTTACCAAAGTTCTTATCCCTTTATATACTGTCGTACCTGGATCCAAGAAGTCTATGCAGGGCTAGTGTAGTGTCTTGGCATTGGAAGTTTCTAACTGAGCAGGTACATATATGATGATCAGGATGATGAGGATGACAATGATAATGATGTTAAAGATGATGATGATGATGAAAATGATGAGGATGAGGATAAAGATGATGATGAGGATGATGGTGATGAGGAGGATGATGATGAGGACAGTGATGCTGAAGATGTTGATGTTTTAGATGATGAGGATGAAGAGGATTATCATTATGGTGATGATGTTTATGATGATGAGGAGGATTATGATTTAAATGGTGAGGTCATGAGAATAATAATGACTGTAAAATAGCGAATGTGTTGATTTACTTGCATTGATTTAGGATGATCTATGGCGTCCAAAGTGTGTCAAGTTTGGTTGGTACTTGCCCTACTCGCCCAGCAACAATGAGTTTGGAGCCTGGAAGCGACACTACATCCACTGTCTACTAACACTGGATGTTGTACAGAATGCTGATAAGGTACTGTAGGAAAAGCTTGCTATTCATCCAGTTGAAAATGGAATTCCATCAGCTGTGATTGTTTGATGACATTAAATATATATAATATGTGCAATCATTTTTGCATAACTTTTCATTTTTCTTTGTATCTTTGTCATCATTTTTTATATAATCTTGTCTGTTTATACACATCTAGATGTGTATAAGAGACAGATAATAAAGCCTGTCTCTTATACACATCTAGATGTGTATAAGAGACAGATACTATTAAATATAACAAATATTATTGTTATTATAATATACAACTATGCAGTTTTATACAGTTTTATTTTTTTTAATGGTTCTGTCATTTTATAATTGTGTTTTAGTCAGTTTTATATGGTAAGCTGGGAGATGGAACAGAACAAGAATTAGCTGCATCGAAGCAAAAACATCGCAGAACACGATCAACAGTACTTCAGACAAGTAAGTAATTATTATCCAGTATTTGACATTTTACACTGGAATTTAAATCCAAGAGGCTACTGAGCATGTCTAAGCCATGGTCAGTTAGTCTGTGCACCTGTTTCATGTGTATTTACAACATTCAGTTGCATATTTACAAGGATCAATTAAGAATATCAATTGGTAAAAGTATAAGGTGAGTAAAGGTAGGAGAATAATCCAAATTTTTAAATTAATTTTTGGCCTGCCTAGCCACTGTAAAGAGGCGCTATAGTAGTTTCATGTTCACATCATTCCATGACAGTTTAAAAGATGCAATGGGTCCTTTAAAGTGCACACATTTGAAGTCCTTATCTGAGAAGACTCTAGCAGCAACCCTGGGTGAGGAGTACCAGCACCCCTTTCTTACTACTCGGCCACTCAACTCGCCAATTGTCAATGAAATGCAGATTGAAACAATTCAGTTTTCGCTAATTTATAGGCTTTTACTACAAAAAAAAAAATTGGGGCTTTACAGTACATTTCTATGTAATATTTACCAATATATTTGTATGTAGTCAACAAATGTTTTTTCTTCTGTTATAGGCAGCATGAGCAATCGTCCACCATGGCTTGATCCCGACCCTAAGCCATTTGATTTGCAACAATCCTACAATGCCATGGTTACGTCTGTCAATCCCAATGATCCTTCCATGCCAACACATGCTTATTTGCATACGGGTCGATGGGGTGTGTCAAGTAGCAAAGGTCATTCTAGATCATGGACTGAGCCCTCTCGGAAGTTTGAATATGGTCTTGAGGGTGGAGATCGAAAGGACAAACACAGGGCCTTAACGGTAACTATTTTTTTAAGGGTGAGGGGATGTTTTGTTAAAGAACAATCAATATGCATTAATGGAAGCAATCATTTCTTTAAAATAAAATGTATGATGCTGACAACTGAGGAATTACAAATCAAATTTAATAGTGTAACACAGAGACAACCAATCCTGCCTCAATGACATTGTGTGCATATAATTTATACTACTGTTGGATGAGGTCTCTGGTAGTCGGTGGATATTGAAAACAGTTCTCAGGGGTCCCAAGTTGGAAGAAGTCATTTCTGGGAGATCTGGGGGGTGAGAGGTCAAAAGGTGGGGGGTGGCAGAGAGGGACTTTCATAGAAGGAGGGTCTAGATCATATCAGCCCCAACATGGTTGAAGCTGAGGTAAGAATACTTGTGAATATGGCACCTCTAGATGGCCAGAAATGGCCGTCTCACACATAAATTTGAATATAATTCATTTCTACTCCATTGTTCATAATTTGGAAATATTTAGGGGGCCTGGGCCAAACTTTACCAACCCTTGAATCTGCCACTGATCTGGTTAATGAGCTTTTTTAACACATTTAATTTTATTTTCCTGCACAAAGTTATACCCATCGGCACTGACTTCCCTGAGAAAATTGATAATAAAGCAGTGAAAACATGCAAAATTATGAATTTGCAGAGATGGGTTAATTTCCGGGGATTCTTGCTTGCTTGTGGGAGGCTGTCCTGATTTCTATCATGACCCCTGAGTTCTATCATGACCCCTGAGTTCTATCATGACCCCTGAGTTCTCTCATGAGGGAGTTTTCTGGAGTTTCAAACTTAACAACTGACCAATCAGAACAAGGCTAGGTATTTGCGCTTCCCCAGAAACACATTTGTGGCAAAGACAAGCTGAACCAGTCACTCATCGCAGAAAGTGATGTTTTAGTCATTATCTCTAAAACACGATTTGTGACGAGTGACTGGTTTGGCTTGTCTTTGCCACATATGTATTGTCCAGCAGACGCATGTGTTTACATACGCTTAAGTTATTGTTTTATGGAACCTTAGCAACACTGTCAGAGGGCGGGGCTTAGTGGAAGGTCTTAATACATTTGTCATCTGAAATAAACTTTGATTTTGTGCAGAATGGAGATGAGCATGATGTGAAACAGCAATCACTTCGGGGGACGCTGTCCGAGAGCATGATGCAAGAGTCATTAAGACCAGACATTGCTGGTGTGTACGAGCAGTCTTGGTCAAGTCCAGTCAAACGTCCAGCATCACGGAGGTTTGTAATACCGCCTCTAATCCACCTATCTATCTGTATATAATCATTTATAAAGTGCTACTTCTAACGGATATTAGGGCCAAGTGCCAAATTCAGTGCAATAACAAAAGTCAAAATGATTCTGGATCCCGTTCTGATTTATGCAGTTAAATCAAAAAAGAATTTTAACAAAAAAAAAGCATTTAAGTTTATTCCCTAAACTAATCATGGTTAGCCATTGACTCCGAGGATTATAGCGCCCTCCCATCAGCAAGTGCTAAGACATAGCATCTGTAACAAATATTAAAAGTTCATTCATTCATACAGAATATTAATTCTTTTAACTAGAATACAATTTTTGTTGAATTTCTCTATTATTGTTTATGAGAACAAATATAAACATTTGGATAACAAAGAAGAGAAAAAAAACCTGTATTGTTTGGCTTAACATATATTAAATTTAATATTATTCTAAAGACAAGAATAGTTATAGAAAAAAGGGGAAAAATTTATCAAACAAAATAACGGTTTTAATTGGAAGATGTGCATTTTTACAATTTGTTTTGCTGTTTAACTTAATTACTTATAAATAGAAAAGATTTGTCTGGTGGTGGAGACTACTCATCAAAGATGTCATCATCAGGTGTTACCATGGAAACTAATCTGCAGAATCAGAGTTATCCCAGTCACCCAAATCCAAGAGTCATCCTTATCTCTTCCAGTGTCCCTGCAAGAGAGGTAATAATAATCCATACATTTTTTGGGAGTGGCATTTTTAGTTGTGAGGAGAAAAAAAAGCCGATTCAAGATAATATAATAATATATATTGCTGCCAATTATTTTTCAATTGATGAGATCCATTTGTATGAACTTTTACAAGAACAATCCAGCATTATACTAGGAGAGGGAATACTTTCAGAATATACTTATACACATATACTTAGTAACAATTAAACAAAATTGTATATACCAAATAAAAGAAATATACAAGATCAAATCTGGACTCAATTTGAAAAGAAATGCTAGAACTGGCATGAAGTGGATTGACTATTATGTAGGAAAGTAACAGCATCAGTAATAGGGTGTCTGTACTTGAGAGGCAAAGTGAAGAGTTTTTATTTTCTGATTGAGAGAGTGTGCACCCAATATTGCATACTTTTGGAAACCACACCAAGCAAAACTCTAACTTTGATGGCTGGAAATTTTATATACGTTTATTGAGTTATGGCTCCCTCTTGTTTCAGGTTCTTGTGAGTGCAGTGTTGTTTGGAGTTATTCCGGTTGTTTATAACTACGATGGAATGACCTTAGAAGCTTTACTTCAGCAGGTTGAGGAAACCCTTAAAGGGCGGCATGCAAAGTATGTTGCTATTGGCTGAAATGTATCACATTTGCATATTATTTGCATATATGCTACTTATTATTTATTCAGTTATTAACATATTGATTTTTGGTATTTTTTTCATTTCATTTATTTTTTCCAAAATATAGTAACGTAGATATGATACACAAACTAAGGAAGTGTTGTCTTTTACAAAATGTGGATGGATTGGTAATAGTGAATTTAACCCCTTTTTGTGACTTAAATTATATGAGTTTACATAAATGTATAGAAAGATACCACTTAGCAAGTATAGAAATGTGGATAGGTAAATTCCCAGCTATTTGTTTGTTTTGTCTGATGTGATTTTCCTTTTTACTTCTAATATTTCTTGATGTAAAATTTCTAAACTATAGGCTTCCTATTACAGGAGCATTGGTCTGTTTGTTGATGGAGCTCCTGGACAGTTGAGACTAGTCCATCACATGACATCATCCTTGACAACTGTGGAGCATCCTGAGGTTCGTCAGTTCTGGGAAGTTCTCTGCACTTGGACACTACCAGCTTCCCTTGGTGGCCACATCGACATTTTTCCACCCCTGGCTGCAAGTGGTAAGAAGAATATTGGCCAAATTTAATGTACCTAAAGTATTGTAACCCATCATGAATTTTGTTATTTCTGAATACAGCATATTGAATCTAAGTCATTTTGTGACAACACCAACACCAACATCATTAACACTTTTTTTCGATAGACAATTCTGCTTCCATTTTTGTAAAAGTTGTTAGTATTGTTTATTAATTTTATAGGGAAAATGTAATATCTTCAATATTTTCTTTTTAAGAGCCTGGACTTAACCTTCTTCAGCAGCTTATGGCCCTAACCGGAATGACGTTTGCTTCCCCAACTGGAGTATCTGGACCGATATACTCACGAGGTTTGTCTTAAATATTTCAATTGTTCAGTGGAATTTAGAAGCTTGTCTTTATTATTATTACTATTAATGTTACCAGTATTATTATTATTATTATTATTATTATTATTATTGTTATTATTTTTGCTATTGTTATTATTATTATTATTATTACTGTAATAGTAATATTAAAGTTGAAATGATACTATGAGAAATAGAAACATAAAATTCTTATTATAGAGATCAAGTATGAAGTAAAACGTTTCTAAATATATTGTACCATACTTATAAATTGAAAAAATGTTTTTAAAGTATTATATTTTCTTCCCTTTGGTAGTTCTGAGTGAATGGTCTGAATCATTTGGTGGTGTCTCACCTCCAACTCTTTACTTCAATACAACTCGGCTTGCAGAGTGGATAAGCATGGCAGAGCATGTTACTGAGGCAACCATTGTGAGCAGACAATTAGTGAAGAATTACTTCAATCAAGAGAGCTCAGACATGATTGACAGGGTGACAGGTAAAATTAATTAATTTATTTGTTTGGTCTGTGAATGAATGTGGAAAATGTCAAACATTGAATTGCTTATTGAAAAATATCAGATAAGTTATAGTTCTTCCAGAGAGATATAAATCAAAACAATTCCATTTTCACTCTAGAGATATTTCACTAGGAACATCTTTAAATTGGTTACCTTCTAATTTAAAACTTTGCCCAGACTATCAAATTGTATTCGACAAAAAAATGTGACATGCCTGAATATCGTCATGATGACATCACATCATGACTATATATGGGCATACAACAGTTTTTTGCATGAAAATTTGTTAGTGTCAACAGTAGAAGATGTCCCAAATATTAATAGCTGACAGTAACCCATCCATCTAATGAATTATTCATACCTTATGCATATTTATAAAGTTCAAATGCCATTTGTTGCTTCACAGGAGATTTAGTTTACAGTGCAATGGGATTAGATGAACTGCAGAGCATCAGAAATGTGGCACCAATCATTAACGAGGGACTCAAAGAAATGGCCAATCAAAAAGCTGTAAGTGATCTTGTGTAGGCTAGTGCTGTAGAAATATATTCTGAAATGGGGGTAGTTTCTGCCCTCAACATGTGTAATATAATATTGTTATTGCTTACTATTGAGATGACAGATGTATCAAACTTGCTTGCTTTAAAAATATAGATATTCCAAAAAACAAAGGATAAATTATTGCTTCTTTGTTTCTAATATTTTTATCTCTTGGTTTCTTTTTAGAGATATCTTATTTTGTATTATTTTACTTTATTCCTATTTTCAAGGACAATCAACTGGAGTTTTTGATCAGATTTTTACAAGAAAGTTTACCTGAATCATCCAAAATTGCAAAAGTTTCCAAGTCAAGACCAGACACCTTAAGAAGCAACTCACCTGTTGCTAAACCTGAAACAAAAGTGCTCTCAGAGACTATGCTTGAGAATGTGAGTGGTATATTGTGGTTTATTTATATGTTCACATAAAACAATCATATAAATAAGATTACTTGTTTGCAGTAAAGCTAAATGGAGAGGTTGTTAAAGAATACTGTACAGTGATAAATAAATAGTTACACTCCTACACACATTTGATAATTTTGTCCAGCACTCTCTTGATCATTTTGCCTGCTACACCCAATGACAAATGACCACTATGAAACCTTGATCAGCATTATCAACACACCTTATTAATTATAGTATGTGTGTTTTAAATGGCCTCAATGAGTAGGCCCTGCGCCCTAGCCCATAGCATGACCACATGCAACAATTTTTTTCATTTTTAACCCCTATCCAAATTATTAAAAACATGTGACATGCCTAAATATGGTTAAGATGACATCACATTATGCCCATCTATGGGTGCATCATGATCTATGTATAGGGATACAACAGTTTTTGTCAAAGAAAATTTTATAATCTGGACAGATCTTTAGACATGAATGCCGGGTGGTAATGTGAAGCACATAGAGGCTTTGATGGCGCGATGTGCTATGTAACAACTAACATAAATTTTGTCTATCATCTAAAATTTTGTCTTTAGGATTCTGATATTGAAGAAGAGATAGCATCAGACATTGAGGAGCTGTTATCAATTGGAAACACATTGACGACCGAGAAGGTGCAACTAACTGTGAGTCAGCCTGGCCTAACAGATGCTCACTTACAACTACAACCCAGTACAGCTTCATCAACAAAGTCATTTGTGAAAATTGTAGGCTATGTAATTTGTTGTTTTTATTGACCTTTAACACTAATTGGCTATTAATCCAAAAGTAATGTAATTCATTAATTATAAATATATTTCCAAAGTAAATTAATTTAAGGTAATATATTTAAAGTAATTCATTAAATATATTAATTAATAAAATGAAATTAATACTTAATTAATTCAATCCACATTTGTAGATAGAAGTAGATAAAATGTAATTCATTAATTGCAATTTAAGTTATATTTCACTGAAATAATTTATTAGATCTTAATATAATTATTTACAGAATGGCACACAAAATGGCGAAACAGAATACCAACCGGAAATGAGGACCCAAATAGCGCAAGAAATTCTACACACCGAGCAAACCTATCGAAATCTACTAAAAATAGTTAAAGATGTTTATGTAAGACCATTACAAGCAGCATTGCAGACGAACCATGCAATCATCAACCAGCCTAATCTCCAAATGATTTTCTCAGATATAATTAATATTCTTAAGGTTACAAGGTGAGATTGGTGTCCTAGTTTGTGTGTACTCTATTGGGGTTTGAAGTCTTTTATTTGTTAATTTTAAGACAAATAAACAACTGTTATTAATTTCATTATCATTATTTCGATGGTGTTTTCTTCAGAAGATTAGTAATAGGAATAATGTTTTTGCCTACCTGATGTGTTAGCATACTGAATGCTGAGTACGTTCGCAAATACTTGCAAGTAAAAAAAAAAAGAGTTATTCGGGTGATAACTACCTAGCCTGGTGTCTTTACTACTAGACCATCGAGCTTGCGCTTAGTGGCTACTGTTTAATCTGATCTCCATTCATCATTGTAATATAAAAATTCATTGTATAATTTCTAAACAGGAACTCATATTTTATAGGCCAAATAAAAAAAATTAATGTTTTAGCCACGCCCGACTGACCCAAAATGTACGAAATTGATGTTCGGCATTTTATTTATATTTTTTTGACTGCAACAAAAAGTACATATTTTTAATGAGCTAAAAAGGCTGGAATAAGACTATTTTCCACTAAATGTGGCCAACACAAGAATTTTTTTTTCTTGGCCTAATTTTGTGTTTTATAACTTGTTGAGACATTGCGTGAAAGTTGGTCCCCTTGTCAAGACCCAGAAGCCTTAATAAATACTCTTTGCATGATGCCACTTTTCTTATTAGTATCTGTTGTCAACATTATTTGAAGTAATATTTGAATATTTTTTGAAAGCATTTCTAAAGCTCTGTCCAGATTATACAATTTTTTCGACAAAAAACTGTTGTATGCCTATATATAGTCATGATGTGGCTATATATGGTCATGATGTGATGTCATCATGACCATATTTAGGCATGTCACATGTTTTTGTCAAATAAAATTTGATATTCTGGATAGGGCTTAACAATAACCAGGATGATTGAAAAGGCTTAGAAACTTTGGCTATACATACTATGTTGTTGCCGCTGTTACAGTTGTTGATGATATTGTTTCTGCTGGTGTTGTTGCCTTTTTGCTGCTTTTGTTGCTGCTAACAGAATAATGACCTTTTTTTATCAAACAGTGATTTTCTTTCTGACCTCAAATCCCGATTGGATGAATGGGGACCTCATCAGTGTCTTGGAGACTCCTTTGTGAAGATGCAGTCAAAGCTTAAGACCTACACGAACTTTCACAACAACTATCCTATTGTGCTTGCTACAATAGAAAAGGTAATGGTGTTGGCACTAAAAGTATATTGTTAAAATGTTTTTACTAAATTATACTTTACTCAGGTATACACAACTATCTGTAACTGTACACAACTCTCTGTAAAGTAATGATGTTTGCACTAAAATTATATTGTTCAAATGTATTTACTAAATTATACTTTACTATCACATTTTCTTTGAAAAAAAATTTCTGTATGCACATATATAGTCATGATGTGCCTATATATGGTCGTGTGACCATATTAAGGAAGTGTCGCACGTTTATGTTTAGCACTTAAACTCCAGACCACAGATCCAAATAAACATTTTTTTAATATAATAAGTTTTAACATATTCTGTTATTGCATCTCCCCAGTGTCGTGAACAGCATCCTGCATTTCGATCATTCTTAAGACGACATGATAAAACACCAGAGACAAAGATGCTGAGCTTGCAAGATCTTCTGTTAGTGCCGACACGCAGGATTCAAGAGTACGTACGGCTCCTGTCTGCTTTAGAGCTCCATACCTCACCAGACCATGCTGACCGTTCTGATATCGCCCAAGCAATTGAAACTTTTCAGAAACTGCAGAAATTTGTTGATGAGGTATGAAAACAATCTTTTTTTTTAAAATCACATTTAAGCAATCAAGATTCAACTTTCTTTCCAAGTCTCCCAATAGTCACAGGAGTCGCTCACACTCTTTCGTGTGCAAGCAGAAATCTTCCAGAAACCAACCCATCTCTCGTAAGTTGATGTATGTTTGTTTTTACTACAGTATTATCCAATTTAAAACAATCACGACACTATAAATGATGTTCATGTCGTATGCATGAGTTTTTTTGGGTTTTTTTTGCCAAATCCATTGCTAGGCTTAGTGAAACACACATGTTTCGGCAGGCTCTACTGCCATCATCAGTGTGAAGACTGCATGCAGGCAATCCTATTTATGAGAGAATAGTGATACGTTGTATTAGATGCGAGTTATATAACCATATTGAAAGATAGAATTGACAAAACAGTTCATGAATAAATATAAAGACAAGAAAGAACAAGAAAAAGAACTGAATCAAAGTGTTAAGTTAACATGGTAGACTGGTTTGTTGAGTGAGGGCTGTTCCCTTTGTATTGTGTAATGCCTCCTTGATTTTCAGTAGGTATTTGGAGGAGGCAGAGTATTTGGAAACAGTTTTCATTACAACATTGTCTACATTTGGTGGAACTATTTAAAGTGTTTGTAGATATGGGAGTTCATTCCATTCTTGAAGTCAGTCAGATCTTTGAACCAGATCTTTAAGAAGTGGCTTTTCTCATGTTAGAACCCCTGTGAATAGGCCTATGTTTTTTTTCTGATTTCTTGTTGTAGTGTAAGCGTCGTTGTGAGAGGGAGCACCGGCTGATATTTCTACAAAAGAGAATTCTCAAGTGTCCAAACCTACTGGAATCCAATCGATTCCTCATTCGAGAAGACATCGTAGCTCACTTGAAACCACCTCCAAATGATCTTAGACCAGACTTAAGGTGAGTGAGCAACTACAGTTAAAGACCACTTTTTGGACGGGGGACTAGGATCAAGGTTTCCATGGTCTTTAGCAGCTTTGATCTCTAATTAGAATAATAAAGATATAAGACCAAATAATTCAAAATTTCAGATTAATTTCTTTATAATTTTTTTTTTAAATTTATATTTTGTTTATTTTATTTATTTTAAATCCCTGGTTTAATTAACATTCCAAGTGTAGAATTTATTCTATAATTGATTCATTTTATGTTTTTTGTAGAATTTATCAACACATTGAGAACTTGGGAGTGTTCCTGTTTAATGATGCTCTGGTTGTTACGATAACAACAAATAAGCCGTATCCATATGAGCGTTGTGTTGAAGTCAAGTATAGTTTCCTGGCATCTCTTGCACTCACCAAACTCAAAGTACTGGATTTACCAGATACCAAGTGTAAGTGCAGTGTTTGTACTTTAATTAGTTTTTTGTTCATGTTTTTATTTTCTTGAAATTTTTGATCATTGAAAATATCTTTCATTTGGCCTCCCGTCTTTATTAATTGAGTTATAGCGAACAGTGGCGTATCTAAGCGTCTGTAAATGTGGGTGGGGGTTGGGGGTGCTTGATGATTAAGTGAGGGGGTGCCAGCTTGCATAATAAGGTAATTTTTATGTACTTGAGCGTGATTTTTTTTGCTTCATACATTTTAAACATTTTCCATGCATGCGAGGTGGCAACTGGGGGTGTAAGTTTTTAGGAGGGCATGAGCCCCTGCACCCCTAGATAAGCCACTGATAGCAAATCCTAAATTCTGTGTATGCACCTGCACTTCAAGGCACCATCACACACTCCTATTATGACCATCTTCACTCAGCGAAAATCTTCTCAGCATCCCAAGATCTAAAATGAAACATATGGTTAGTAGAACTTTTCTTTTTCTGCTTCAAGCTAAAACTAACAGGCCAAAACTATAATTTATCGCAGGGTGAACAGCCCAGAAAGTTTTTCAGTAGTACTAGCAGGATAATGCAAGCTCACCTAACTTACCCTATATGAGCACATATAATTGCAACTTGTGTGCATAATAATAAACAATTGTATTCTTTTTTCTTACAGTTAACCAGAATGTATTTTCCATGACAACTCCAAAACGGAAGTGGATTTGTTCTGCCAGCAACTATAGCAACAAACTGGCCATTATTTCATCTCTAGAGGGGGCTATAACAGCTGCCATGGAGGTTGACTAAGGCCTCTAAAATTAAATCCATTTTTTTACTTTCATGTGCTATGTTTTGTGAATGAAAAAAACTCCTGAACAAAGTTACAAAATTTATGCATTTAATGTTCTTAAATAGAACAATTTGTACTATGGTGTTATTGATACATATTTAAGTAATTACCATATATACTCGCATGTAAGTCGATCTGCGTATAAGATGACCTTGAGTTTGAGAAGATTTTTGGATGATTTGTGTATTCTGGGCGTACAAGATGACCCCCCCCCCCTGTTTTTTATGGTCTTTATACACCTAACTGACTAAAAACGCGGCTAAATGTAGGGCCAATCTTCTATATAATACATTTTTATGGGATTTTATACACCAAAAACTTATTCCCTCGCATTATATTGCCTTCATTCAACAGTTAGTAGCTTCATTTCAGTAGTAAATTTGTGTGTTACCGACGATCCGCACATGAGGCGAACATGAGTTAATAAAAAATGTGTATGTGTTGCGCGTATAAGGCAACCCTCCCCCGTTTTTTTATTGTAATTTGTAATTTCAAGTTCTGTCTTATACATGAGAATATATGGTACCAAAACTCCCTCCAAATTTTAAATATTAATAGCACCAATCACCATCTTGATGTTAGTAAGCTTTTATAGAACAAACATCATTTTTAAACTTATTAATTGAGTGTTTTTTCATAAAATAGATAAACTGATTATTGAATATTTAAACAATATTGTAAGTAATATTTAACCAAAGTAATTTTTGATGAACAAATAGTAATGTAAAATGTGTAATATATAACCAAAATTGTAAATAGCTTTTTCAAAAGTCTTCTTCAGTATTTTTGTATGCATAGATATTCTATAGTATTTTTTATTATTGAAAAATGACATATGCAAGTGCTCACTATTATATATGTATGTAAAATAGTTCTAGATTTGTGTAGCAAGTTGTGTGCTGACTAGGCTGATAAGTTACAGGGTTGGACTGAAAGCCTTTTGGACTAATATCTTTTTTAATTCTTTCAATTTTATTACCAATACCAAGGAGTGCTTTTTAAAAATATATATGACAATAGGATGTTAATTAAAACATATTTGTATTCTCTTTATCAACTTCNNCTCCCCCCCCCCCCCCCTTAGTTCTCTACAATTGTGAAAAAATGTAAGACATTACATTGAGGTAAAGATATCTAATCAAATTTAATAATAATGATACAGTTGATTGTGTTAATAATGAATAGTATCTTAAAATGAGATTTATTGAATAGTTTAGGGTTGAACTCAGTAAGCAATATACTGTTCAAATATTTTTTTTAAGCATCGTGTTAAAATGTGTAATATATATTCTTTACACCCTACATAATAATTGGGATCAATCACAATGATGATAACATGAATTAATTTATTTTTTATCAATGTTTATTATGATGTAACACAAATGAAACCTAGTACAAATCGCTTTGATCATGTTTCAAAATGTTGGACATTAGATGTACAGTTAGCAGTACAGAATATATTGTATATTCATTTAATATTTATTTATTAGAAATCTAAAGACAGACACTCACTGCATCCGGCGGTTGTCGGCCCTCGCGATTCTATTGAGAGCGTAAGGCCACGACGGGCGCGCAACAGGTCGTTTTTAATGACAATTCGTTCAGACTGCCACCGAAAATTAGCAGGCGGTGTTGCGTCGTCTAGCGCTCACAGGAAGCAGAGTTGGATTCCTCGGCTTACGGTCGTACAACCGTCATAACGCTGTGAGTGACCGGCTTAAAGAGCAACCAAAGAGGTGTCCAGTGGACCACCCCAAAAGCTGAGAATTCAAAGCTAAGATTTTGCATACTGCCCAAAGTAATACATATAAAATAAAAGTCTTAAAATATAGTAGACTAGGCCTGTACAAGATCATAAAAACAATCCATAAAATATGAGTCAGTCAAGTTTCATGGTATACAATTGTTGCTCCATGTGCCAGTTTATAAGTTGGTATGACGATTGAGTACAAATGGCATACCTATTCACGTGTCTTCTACAAAAACGTAGTACCCCCATGTGCCTCCCCTCACTAGAAATTTGCTGAGAAAAAAAAATTCAGTACAGCATTTGAAAATTACCTCTTATCCCTTAATTATTTCAGCTACCTCAAAATTCTTGCACACCTTCCCTTTAGCTTATATATGTTAATAACCCTAGGTATGCCACTGTTAAGTAATGATAGGTTGTGCTTATAGGTAGCAACAACATTTAATCTATAAGGAGTGGTATCGACTGTGAAGCAGTAACTTTACACCAATGACCAAAGATGTTATTTAAGAACAAACAATTGCATTAAATAAGTTAATAAAAACTTGTGGAGACAACTGTTTAATACTGGCCAAGGAGTAACGGTCGTCGTAGTATCCATATAAAGAGAGCAGTTGACAATTGTTTGAAAAACGGAAAAATAGTATTAATACACAACAGCTTAATCACTTATAACCCCTAAAGACATATAAATCAATTGTTGGTTAAAACGAATAAAATAAAATAAAGTATATTACAGTACCTAGAATTGGACATTCAAATAAGCTTACATTATTTTAAATACTGTGTATTGTTTTTTATTTTATTTCAATATAGGCCTAATAGTATTATTGTTTGTATATTATTATTTTTATTAATTGATATAGCTATCTATATTCGCTTTGCATCGGTTTATAATTAATGGTGCTCCTTCGTGTGAATTTAATTTCAGTAATTACAGTGTTAATTTATAATTATGATCTTCTTTTTCTTTGTTTTTACTTGTGTACCCTCATAAATCTTGCTGTGATGTTGTGTGGTTTAATATTTAATTGCTTGTGGTTTAATTATATTGAAGAGTATTATAATATGTGCATTCCTTTTACTTTTTTCTTTTGCAGTAGCCTGGGGGATGTGTCAATGTTAATATGATTTCAACCTCGGTGTTTATGTTTTTCATGATTTATAGTCTGTTGCGTTTATAATATTTCGTTTGGAACATTTAATTAACTAGTAAAGTTCATTAAGTATTGTTAACATGTAGTGTGCTCTTTTCCCTTGTAATGTTAATATAGACTAATGCGGCTATACGATTTATTTTCGTCCTTAACAATTTGTGGAATTATTTAAAAAGTATACAAAATTTGTTGTAATCGCTGAATATGGAATGACTATGCGTAATGTGTTCTTGATATAATGAGATTGTCGTAAGCCTACAAATAAAAATAAGCTGATAAATTTTCATTTTCATTTGCTGAGCAAGATACTTATATTGGTTAGGTCTACCAGGGACTGGGCCTACTAAATGACGAATAAATAATGTTACGTAAGCCTACCTGTTACAAATGAGATAAAGTTTAGTATTGGAGTATGCAACGCCCTCTTGCGGTGATGCATCGGAACAAATTGCACTACTGGATATTGCATTACCTTCATTACTTTAGGCCTTACCTATTTATGTTTTTCTCTGCAAGATACACTATATACTTTTTTTCTGTGTATGCGTTGATTTTTTTTTCTTTCAATGGTAGGCCTACTACCATTGTCTCATCCATGATTTGTCTCGCTTTTTGAAATAAAATGGATTCATAACTTTGTAAACCAGGCTTCTTGTCATAATTATTTCACTTCGTTATTAATATTACTGTTTGTAATGAAAAAAGTAGAACCACTTTCGCAACTTCGGAGATGGAGAGCATGTAGGCCCTATGCGCTGAAACACAACACAATTGTAGGCTCTCCTGATTCGGTATCATATTTTACGTGTAGTTTTTCAGGACATAAACTTTACAAGTTGTTGTTACAAGCTGTGTTCAATTATGTTTAGTGATGTGTATTAGTTTAACATGGCGCCATATACTAATGTTAGGATACAGTTCTTCAGCTTTCTCGAAAGATAAAAATTGAATGGTATGTCAACGCAAGGTATTATTTTAGTTGGCCCCACTATTGGTTTTGTAAATGAAAGTTCTGTCTAGCATTTAGGCCTAATTTATGGCGATTAATAATTTTATAATGAAACAAAAGTCCCACAAACCAGCACAAACTATTCTATTTTTAACTTATTTTAGTCCTACCCATGAGTTTCTTTAAAGTATTAGGAACCAGTAGCAGACCCATAAATTCAAAATAGAATGGGGACCCAGGGAGGGAATTTTACATAAATAAATATCCGTCGGCCCTGGACCCCTTGGATCCGCCCTGGTAACATCCGATCCCACATTTAGGTAGGTAAAACTGACCGCCAAAACAGGGCCATTTTTTTCGATAAGAAAAAGTACGGAGGAACAATTTTCGTGTGTATAAAGTGGTTTTAAAGAGAGAAATCGGGAAACTGTGGGATTTAAACTATTAAAAAAATTTTTTTTAAATTACTATGTGACATTGTAATGGATTTATTCTTCCAGATAGGTAGGGATTATTTAAAAGGTCGTCTTTGTGGTAGGCACACCGATTCTCTACTGATACCTGGGGTTCCCTTAACTTTCTCTTCCAAAACTGTATCGGTACAGACCTTGTGTGTTGTCAAGGGTAAACATAGATTCAGGGAAGGTCAATCTAAGGTCACTATAAAAACGAAATTGGCTCGCATCTCTGATCAAAATGCCAGAGGGGCTAAAAGTTCACAGCTGATTCGCTTTTGTTTTTTGGAAAATATACATCCCTGGATTAAAATGGATCAGTCCAAAATCTGAAAACACCGGGAGATGTCAGTCAGCTGAGAAACCCATTCTCAAAAGTAAGGGATTTATTTAGTCTGAACAATATGAAAACATTTCATTTATTATGAACGAGTCCCACGAGGTGGAGCACACGTACGTCAAAGTATAGGGACTTCCATCTGAACGAACCTGCTGTCATATCTAAATAGTCTGCCTTCAGGTGACCAAACTGGTTGTCCCGCTTCTCGCTTGAGACAAAGCTCTGGATCGGTGAGTCAGAATTCTTTTTATAGACTGGTATAGCCTTAAAATGGTAGCTGAGTGGCCGAACATAATATAATTGTTGCAAAAACGGGATGGTGGAATGCTACATCTTTTATACTTAAAGTCACTTTACGGTGAAATACACCTTACAACTTTTAGCTTTTGAATGCCTATAGGCTTTGCGTATCTGCCTTTTACGTTTTTTGTTTTGTTTTTGTTTTTAAAGAACACTTTAAAAATTGGCAAATAGTTAAGTTCATTGTTTAGTGACAACTTGCTTCATTACATACAATGTACATGAACCAAATGTAAACATCGTTTCTCAGCGTCTTAACGGTTTAACTGCATAGGTCACTTTGCAAACGAACCCGATATAAGCACAGAGGCTTAGTATAATACTTCCACGCTTAGGCCAAAGTAATTAGAGTTTTGAGACCATTCTTATAGAGCTCTCTCGTGACATCATTATAGTAAATCTTATGATTGATGTTTGAACTGTACAATAGTGCGGGCCTACGTGTATCAAAGTTTAAAAAAATGAGTTGGTATACATTCATCAGTTTACCGTAGTTTTCGGTAACTTTATAAACCTATCGAAAACGAATTACGGTATATCTATCTAGTGAAAGTTGTTTATTGTTGTATAATGTTTATATGTGTATTTTTCGAGTGTTTACTGATTTTAACCACATTTTCCGAAACGGCGTCATAATTTTAAGTTCTTAATCTTTGTTGTGAGAAATGTTGTTTCGGCCTACATCTTTCTTGGTCCCTTTTCCTGTTCGTCAGTCCTATTGTATTGTCTTGGTATTTAACCCATTGGTCTTTCTTTAAAATAAACCTCAAGTTGATCATTAACCCAAACACTTCCTTCTCAATATTCGACATAGGCTGCTATAGTATAGACCTACGCTATTAATTATATACCAACGCTTTAAGCCTGGTTTCCAGAGGCGCAATAATGAGGCCTACCAGTAAATTACGTTGATGCCTATAGAGAGTAACCGTCGATTTCTCTATTGATATAAATAACACATTTAAAAGCCTTTGATAAATACCGTAACCAATTTAAATTGTTTGATTTGTTCCGCAGGTAACGTTTCTTGCAAATACAATGGAACACTGTGCTAATCGCACTTTCAATGTTCCCATATACTGTACAAAAGAAACGTTACAACAGGAACAACAATTGAAGAAGTACAACAGGCGATAACATCGAAACGGATATTGATAATGATATTTATATAGTATGGCTAATTTCTTTATTAGTTAATGCTTTAATACCAGTCATTAGACCATACTGCACACCCTGTTCATTTTTTAATCTGGGCCTGTCCAGTGCTATGTATAATAACTTGGTCTGCAGGCCAAATATCAGATCCAATGACAGGAGAGTGACTTCGTTAACTGTTTCGAAAGTATCACCATGGATCACAATTTTTGCAACGCGTACTAATGAAGAATTGTCGATGATAGTCCAAATATGTCTTGACTTTTGATGACATTCAAAACCATCTTGACCATGAAGCGTTACCATAGTAACGTATACACATCTGTAATCAAGAAAATAAAAGAAGATTCTCAATTGAAAGTTAGGCCTTGAAAAAAACAATTCCTCCTCCTTTCGGAAAAGAATGAACCCCTGTCATCAGATGCAATTTAAGGTTTTCGGACTAAAAAATAACGCGATCCAATATTGTGATTACAGCTCCTAAATTCGTATAAATAGCACAATTTTTATACTCCTAAACTATAACATATCTCCCACTTTACCCCACCAGGTTTAATTTCCCAGGGACTTTGGAGGAGGCTCTTGATAGCCCCTTACAGTAGCGAATCTAAGATTTCGAGGGGGGGGGGGGGGGGGAGAGGGGGGCAGGGAGGGACTTCCACGGATGGAGGGCCTAGGCCAGTCCAGCCCCACCATGGTTGGGGCTGAGGTAAGAAAATGTATAATTATGACGCCTCTAGATGGCCGTAAATGCCATTCTCCGACATAGATTTATTTATAATTTTGGCTTTTTTCCCATTTTTTTTATAATTTGGAAATTTATGGAGGGGAGGGGTGGCGAGCATAAATTTGCCACTGTCTAGGATTGGTGTAAATGATACCCGTAGGCTGTGAATGACGGTTTTGGACTGTAGTATATGTTATTTGACATTATTTCAGCAGATAAATTCGTTAAAGGCATGAAATCCGACAAGAACAATTCCAAGAAACATGCCATGTCCCATCGCAGTGTGTACTCTATATTCGACTGGCTACAAAGGCACTCTGGAACCATATTACTAACAGTAAGTATAATTTTTATTCTATTAGCCAGTCTATTAGCCAGTCCTTAAAGTGGTTTTCTCACGCGTGAAGTGTAATAGTCGGGCGTACCTGTGCAAGACAGATTACGTGCTGCATCGCAACAAATCACCTAATGATTTGCTCAGTATGTTTCATTTCAATAGGCAAACGGATGAATGCGAGATGGAAATGTAATGTCTTATAACGTATAGCAATTTAATGAATACAGAGTTTCGTAGGCCACGGATAGGATGGATGTTGACCAATACAAGTCTGGACATCTGTAGAACACATGTATACTGTATTGAGAATAGCAGGATGTCATTATTATTCAACAGAAAAACTAACACATAAGTTTAATTGCTCATGGGTATTTCTAGTGTCTGAGTCAAATGGGAGATCATTCGTGAAGGAATACCATTACGAATAGGCCCTACTAGAGTAAGAACCTGTAAAATAACTTGATAACTTTAGCAATGGAGTACCTATCACCCCGGTATATTGAAACGTAAGTACCTGCATAGCCTAATAAAAACAAACGACCTTCCACTATAGTTAACGTCACAATACATTTTGGACCCTTAATCAGCATTATCTGTTGAAATTAAATACACAGAACTTTCCGTAACGTGCGCTCGTAATACTTGAATACGAGTACACTTTTTTAAAATATAAGAACACTGAGGCTGAAATTGCTTTAAAATTAAGAACAAAAGAAAGAACAAGTTAAGGCTGAGGTAAATTGTCAAATAATGTTTTTATTTTATTTTATTTTTTAACAGAAGGACCAGCAAATCTTATCGGTACATTTGCAGTAGATGTGACTATGTAATACCCTCTATACAGTACAGTAATAAACTGATGTATAGTAATAACTTTCTATGTTTGTAAAGTATTTAAAAATAGGAACAAAATAAGAACATTTTGAGCCTGAATTCGACAAAAAAAAAAAAAAAATTTTAAGCCCAAAATAAAAAAAAAAAAAAAAAAAAAAAAAAAAAAAAAAAAACACTGAGCCTGAGCAAAATTTTACTGGTTCTTATAAAAAAATTGTATTTGCTTTGCATATTGTTATCATTTGACTTCGCCATCATGTCGCTAATTATACCACCAACGTTGACATGTCATAATCCAGCGTTCTGCTATTTAAATAAGATATTGTATCAACACCCTGGAGCTATTCAACTGTCAATCAAAATAATGTAGAATAGGGCCTAATTCTCTCCTATTATTAGGTCTATGACTTGATGTCAGTTTCAACTTCTTTGTAAGACCTATATTGCGTGGACTCTAATGTTCATAACCACTTCATCGAAAATATGCCTACACATTCATTATGCCTGTTAAATAAAGTAGAACTGTTAAAAATACTTAGTAGGCTTACCGTACTTTAAAACATAACCCCAGTGATGTTTTGCACCTTTTGATGTGTGGGCTAGGCCCCGTACATGAGTTTACATCTTTATGTGACAGTCCTAGGCTCCTGGCAATTCTCAGTTTTCAGAGCAAACCTTTACTGAAACAATCAAAACAAAAATACCTGTCGAAATCGTCACGATTCTCAAACAACGATTTTCCAAAATCTTACACTACTGCTGATTACTAATCGAATACATTTACTGCTTTATTACTAGGGCATGTGTATAGGCCTATCGTATTTCGTTTGTGCTGTCGTTAAACTGATAATTATCTTAATTTAATAGTTTGTTAATATTATTATTCTGAACGTTTACGTACAGTTGAAATGCGGACGCAAAATCACAGACGTATTAACGTGCCACTAACGCTTTGATCGTTTAATTGATCCATAATTTGACATTGGAAAGTTTTTGTGACGTCACAATGGTTTTTTTTTTCACTTTAACACCTTGTTAAAACCTTATACTAAACATAAACTACCGGTACCTAGTTGAATGAATGAAAGATGTCCGCGATCTTTGTTTGGTCTGACCGTGGCAATTCTTTATTTTTGTGTAGGTCAGTCAATCAGCCTTGATTGCTGGAATATCTGGCCCAGTTTCATAGAGCTTGATTGAAAACATCAGGGCATTAAATTGACGATATAAGTAGAGTCACATCCAAAATGTAATATCAACAGATATAATTAGGGCTCAAGCCCATTTTCAGATAAGCTTGTCCTCTTCAAAATATAATAAACTGAAGAGGAACTGCGTCAGAATAAAATTTAAATACGACCACATCGAGACTGTGATAAGTCGATAATGTTTCTTTAATTTATGTACCTGACCTACATAATGTTGTATATTAGCATCCCACTGGAAGCGCTCGTGTACTGAAAACCCACTAATGAGACCAGATTCACGTTCCATAACGTTCAGTTCCACGGGTATTCTGCTCGAATCAGTTGTTGGTATAATTGGTAACATGCTCATTGTCATACATGCTAGTTGAAATGATTACGGTTTCCATGGATACATTCGATTCAACGTTGGTCTGTCGGCGTAATCCCCGGGTTAAATGGAGAATTTCCCAGGATGCACAGTGAATTTAACCAGGTCAGCATCCACAAACAAAATATGACGTTGATATACCGGCATTTCCCGTTTTATTTATGTAATACTGGCCTATAACTTAAGTTAAGTTACGTAGATGAGTCTCTTGTGACTGGCACCATACCGAATTAGTTACCTAAGCTCATACGCACTACCACAATACAGGGTCTGTCATCGGCATAGAGTAGGCACATCCCCTACTCTATACAATTGAGTAGGGGATGTGCCTACTCTATACAATTGGTTATTTAAAATACACACGACCCTATATACATATATATAGTAGATAAATAATAATAAGAGTGCTCAAATAGGAACATGTTGTAATAAATGTATCAAGCATAGTGCATCAACGAAGAGTTCCTTTTATTTCAGTTGTATGTACAAAAAATGAAATTGTTCAAACTATGCTTGATGCAATTATTACGATTTCTATCCTTTGTTGAATGATGTTTATCATCATTATCTAATCATCATCATCATTATCATCATCTCCTTCATTTGTATGTATCATTTAGGGCCAATCATTTATAAATTTACCATTTTTCTTTATTATTTATCATTATTAAATATATTATTAATAGTAGAGTATTATTACTGCAGTAGTTATTGTAGTATTATTGATAATACAGTATTATGATATTAGTGTCATTATATTATGTGCACTCCTTCAGTATTCTGTTCTTTTCAGGTTTTCTGGTGTTCCTTGAATAGTGTATTGTTCTTCTTAAAATACTACGAATTCAAATTACACCCGAAATACCACTATTTGAGAGAAATGTTAGGGGTAAGTATACGTAATAACCTGTATCGGAATTTAAATTTAATACCACATCGACGAGAAACCAGCACAGCAAGACTTAACCAAGTCAGAGGATATCGCTATTATTGTTAACGTCTATTCTACTTTAAAACATTTTAATATTAAACACACATTTTAAGTATCAACTTCAAACGAGCTAACGTCTGTGTGCGATATTGCTCGTATAAACTTTTATAAAGCAGAAAACAGAAGAGAGGTACCCGCGTACCGGTAGCTTTTAAATATATTTTTTTTTGTGTTTTGATGACGTTGTAATTTGAGAAACGTAGATACGTTGTGATGACAATGTATTTGAACTTTCGATACCGGTAGTCAGTCCCATTACTTATAAACGGTTGGCTAAATTTGAGGATTCTAAATGAAACAATAATGACAATGTAACTCATTGGTAACGCATTCTTACTTATTTTAACACAAGGTCGCAGATAACACTAGTCGTGGTGGTCAGGGTTACTCTAGGTTTTGGGTTGTTTTGTTTGTAAAGAACGTTTGCGTAGGTCTACCAGACGACGAGGTAATACTACAGGCCTTACTCATCTGTCTAGAATAGATACAAGCAACTAACAATAAACACGTGAATGGAAACGAAACTGATTTATTGAATATAAGCATAGGCCTACCTCAATAATTAATTTACGCGTTCATTCATTTATTTATCCATTTAACTTGATTTGGACTAGAAACATATAAAGTTTACAGCTTAATTTATGTAGGCCTAATTAAAATATACGCACAGTCAAAAATACATATAATTGTTCGATCATTAGAGAAATAAAAAGCAATAGCCTAAATTGTTCGTTCATGATAAAAATGTGAAAAGCGATATTTATGCAATGTTTTAACGTTGAATAGGTTTTCTTTTAAATATATAGGCATAAGTATGTAAAATACATTACATGAAACTTCTCTGGTGTAAATTCATATAAACTGTGTGCATTGAACCTTAACATGATATTACTCAATTTGAAACAATTAATCAATACATATTTTAAAGTTGAATACGGTACCGTGCGATACAGTAGGCCTACAACTTATAATAAAAGTAAGAGCAATTAATACCGTGTGGGGGCGTTTGTTATAATTTATAACAACACAATGGTGTTGGTTGTAACGATCTTGAGCAATTCTGCTGTATATGTTACATTAGTGGTGGAAAACAAAATGTATATTCATAACAAAATTTGTTGAATTATTTATTTATTAAAACGTCGATACAAAAATTAGTGTTGAGGAGGAACCAATGGGCCAAAGGCCCGACGCAAAAATATGGAATTGTATATTTTACCGGATATAACTCGAATTTGTTAATACTATAGCAAGATTAGGTTTGAAATGCGCTCTCAATAACCATCATGAGTGGCTACATGCACAAATAGGCCTATGACATTATGATCAGTATGGCTAACCTGAGCCCACCTTTTTGAGGTATAGTAATGACTACCGTAGATGGCTTCACTCAAGCCTTAACCTTTAAAAAAGAAAATCCATTCTATTTCCGAACGAATATTATAATGAATTACAACATGAAAGTGCAGTATTTTGCACTATAGCAGAGTAGAAGTTGGTGTATTGGGTTCAAAGATTCCTGTTCTCCCGTGAGTCCAAAGGTCCCATCCTGGGAGTCGATCGTAAGGATCTCGAAAATCATTACAGTCTTCCGCTTTACTTCCACGCGAGCAAATATCTTGACAGAAATCGTATTATTGATGAAGATGAATGTTTGCATGCTTTTGCTACCATGTACCGTAAGTGTCTACCTGAATTTAGGTGGTCATAAGTATCACCCACTGCATAATACAATAATATTTATCTGAGGAAACTAAATGATGTTATTATGAATGTGGAAAATAACTTTGATTTTGGAAAAGGCAGAGAAAAAAGTTTTGCGATTTGTTTCGCGGTTATTTCAGTTCGGTTTGAACTTCAGCCTACTAAGATACGCACATCGATTGGCGGCAAGTGTTCCCACCACTCATCACACACAGATATCCACTAAACTAAAACATCTTAAGAACATGCTTATGAAAAGGATATAAATAACACATATTTTCCTTAATTGTTTCGACACTAGCGTTGCGTAGATGTATCTTTTTACGTGCCTTGGTCAACTTTCACCCAATATTTCATACGACCCATCAGCAAGAAAGATATGGTGTTAGTTCTTAAATGTACTTTAGCTTCCCTGTAAACAAACAGTGGTCGATTTGCAGTGATCTATTGAGCATTGCGACGCCAATTCGTACTGCCTTTAGCCTGTAGTCTGGTCTTCGGGTATTTATAATCGTTCTGAAAAGTAGGCTCCGGTCTTGAATCAAAGTAATCACCGACGGTGTGGACATATCTCAAGAGACCGCTCATCGTGAAGGAATAATATGACGTCAACAATATTTTTCCGTCCGTAATTAATAGGCCTTCGATTACAAACATTATTTTACATTTAGCAGCAACTCAATAAATTAAATGATGGAACAATGTGATAGCTTTTGTGGGAATTCATGCTCTATAAACTTAAACACACTGTGAGCCG